GTGAAAAGCTTGCAGCTCAATCTGAAAGGAAGCACCTGCAATGTTGGTGCTCATCTGTGGTTGCTGAGGATATTAACATTAAAAAGAAGCCAAGTACTTTGCACCAGGACAAAAGAAAGATGGTTTGAGGGGATCTCAGGAACCAGAGAGACCCCTACCCTTCACAGGCCCACAGGTGAAAACCTTGTAAAACTTTCATTTGAGAAGAGCATGTCAGGGCCCTCTCTTGCTCAAGAAGGGTTGCCTAGGGAATCAGGGAATTGATTTCTTAGGTTTTCATTTCAACATGGTGAGCTAAGGCATGCAGAGGCCAGAGCAGCCCAGTCCCAAGGAGACCAGTTACTACTCCCACTGGTGGCAGCCTGGAATCACCCATATGGTGCTGGTTTTTTAGGCATAAAGTTGTGGGGTCAGGAGACTTCAACCTGACTGCCTGCAAATGCCTAGCAGTGTATTCCTGAGAAGCAGTGTGTGAATCTGGGAAAGTGAAGCTGGAAGTGGGAGATGCCAGGATTGTGGATAGTCTGCTGAGGAAAGCTTTAGGCAGTGAATGGAGCCAGCACAAGAGGCCACAAGGGCTGCAACTGGCTGTCCAGTAAGGGCAGGACCACCCAAACCCTTTCGAGCTCATTTCTCACTACAAACTGCCCTGGTTACTGGACATTAAGTGACAAGATCTAATGTCTGGCTTGTTAGGTTTTGGTCTTTGTCCCATTCTGTTCTCTCCTATTTCTGCCTTTTGAAATGGCAATGTTTACCCTGTGCCACTTTGTTGAAAGATTAACCTTTATTATTGTTGTTGCTGTTATTGTCAACATAGGGGCTTACAACTAAGAGCTTGCCTTGAGTTGGAGATTTGGACTTGGATTTTTCAGCAGTGCTGGAACTGTTGACTTTTGTGACTCTTTAAGAGATGGACTAAATATATTTTACATAATGAGATGGATCTGAGCCTTTTGAGAGCCAGGCAAGGAAGGTACTGGTTTAGAACTAAGATATGTCACCCCCACCCCATTCTCTCATTTGGGTTCATCCATTGCCGAGTTTAGCCACTGAAATGTGCTGGAGGTGAGTTGCTGAGGGTGGGACCTGAAGGAGTGCTTTTTCCCTGGCTCTCCTCTCCCCCTCTACCTTCCTCCTCCTTGGCTGCTGTGTGAGCGGCTTCCCTCTACTGTGTGCTATCACTATTTTTTTTGCCTTGGAGCTAGCCAATTTGGCCTGAAATTCTGAGGCAAGATAAACCTGTCTTTTTTTTTTTTTTTTTTTTTTTGAGGCAGGATCTCACTATGCAGTTTAGGCTGGACTTGAGTTCATTTTGTAGCCCAGGCTGGGCTTGAACTCCCAAATAACTTCCTGCAGCAGCCTCCTGAGTGCTGGGATTAACAGGTATGCACCATCACACCTGGATGGCTTCTTTTTATTTGCAGGTGTTGATATTTTGTGCCAATCATGGGAATGCAGTTAAGTCAGGTTCCATGAGAACTTGAGGAACGCCAAAGTGACTGGGTGCCAGGAATCAAGCAAGTGCTTAATGGGAATATTAAGAAGGCACAGAAGCCAGCCCATGGAACTCCCATGGGACAGAATTGAGAAGCCCCCCTCCCCACTCTCCAGGGGCTGGGTACCAAAACCAGAGCCTGGTGCATGCTAGGTAGGCAGCACTCTGCTGCTAAGGTATAGCTCCACTGCTTGGGGCATTTTAAGCATTCAGAAGAACAGTGGTGACAGTGGATGGAATACACTGAATAAAAAAAATCAATGAATCCACAATGTATTTCTAGAAAAGAAACTTCCAGATCTAAAAGTGGATTGAATCTTAGAAAATCACAATTCTGAAACTCTAAATGTAGTAATTCAGACAAAGAAGATAAATGAATGTTAAAACTATTGTGATACTTTATTATGAGACAGAATAATCTAACAAGTCTCAAAATATTACTGTAACAATTATTTATTAATTACAAAAGAGAAGCAGTATGTTTATAGTATAGAACATGGTAAATACTCTATCAAGTGACCAAACATAAGACCAGTAGTGAGATACACAGTCAGAATGTGTCACTTGGGTGGTGTTCTTGTCAGAAATGTTTAACAATGAGGAAACTAAAAAACGAAACAAAACAAAAGAAAGGAAACTATGAGGCAATCAAATTGAATGTCTAGAAGACACCTGGCCTAGACTTCAAAACTGTCAGCATCAGGCCAGGGAGATAGCAGTGTAAGTGCCTGCCTGGCAAGTGCAAGATCCTGAGTTCAATCCTTGGTTCTGAAAAAAAGAAAGTCTGCAGTACCAAACAAACAAAATTGTCAAGTGTCACAAAGGCTCAAAAGATAACTGAAATGGGTCAGAACTAGTCTAGATTAAAGAAAATTAAATAAACAGGTGACAAATTGTGATTCTTGATCGGACCTTGGATCTTTAAGAGGTTATAATGGCAATATTGAGACAATTGGGGAAATACTAATATGGATTATTATTTTTTGGTATTACTTCTAATATTATGGACAAACTAAGAGTATTATAGTTATTTACTAAAATGGCTAGTCACAAAGTTAAAATTGTTATAGTTCTTTAACAGTAAAAAAAATGTGGGGATAAAATGAAATTTTGTATGACTACATTGCCCTAGGTTAATCATTATTAACATTTACTGTGTTTGCATCTAGTCAACACACACTTAAATAAAATCAAATTGTGCCATTCAGGTTTTTATATTGCTATCAGTAGCTCATTATGAGTCTCAAGCACATTATTTTAAGTGGTTGTATAACATCTGAACAAATTTATTTCTTATTGTATTAAATTTATTATTGTCATGTTTTAGTTTAAAATGCCATTAATTATAAGACATCGTTATTTTATGTACCACTGGTAGGAGAAATATGCTGCTAAATGATGATGCAATGTTTTTTCTTACAATTGTTTTACTCCGTAAAAGAGCCCATTTGTGCTTATTAATAGAATTTTTGTCATATCATTCTTGTATGTACATAATTAGGTATAGGCAAAAAAAAAAAAAAAATCAGTTAAGGTGTTCCTAGAACTTTATGCTGCATATCCAACCTTTCTGAGTGACTTTTCAGTTTACTCTAGTACCTATTGTTTTCATCTATAGTATTATCCATTAGGCCATCATAGTAGCATTTAGAAATGTTTTGTTGCCTCTGAATTTTCTACTTGAGCAGATTAATTTTATGATATGTGAATTACATTTCAAGTTGGTTTAAAAAGAATGATCCATTATTATGCCTGGGGTCTAATTCACAAATTTCTAGTGCTGATACCTTCCTGAGCTTATCAGAAGGTATAAGTACAGTTTTCAGATATCAGCCCTCTGTCTCACATGGGCCCTTAAAATGGTAGCTGAGTTGTCAGGAATTGTGGTACACAACTGTAATCCCTGCACTGGGTGGGTCCAGCTGAGGCAGGATTGATAAAGAGTTTGAGGCCAGCCTGAGCTACATACCCCGTCTCAAAAAAATCAAAATGGTAGTTGACCAAGATATTAAGTGGCTACATTGCCCAGTCATGCCACCAAGAATGACTGGATTCTTTCCTCCACAAACAGTGATAGGTACCTCACATCTACCATCTGACTAATAGAACACGCCGATTTAAAAGATATTTTTTAAAATTCTAATTATACTATGTAAATAATGAATACAGAATATTCCATATCAGTTGAATGACATCTTATTTTCCCACTGAATTTGAGTATATATCATCAAAAAGAACATTTTGAAGTGTACGTTTACCTTTAAAAGGAATACAATTATATGGATCATTCAACATCATCTCCTATGTCATCAGTCAACATAATCAGTCTGACTTGGATGGTCTTTTTTTCAGAAAGCCCTTTTAAGCATGTGAATGTTGTGCATTTCCTCTTGTGAGCTAACCATGGCTGTGGCTTCATAGAGAACACGAGCTTTGAACTCACACCCAAGGTTGAACTCAACTCCAAAGCTTACCTAGGAAATGTGTTCCAAGGCTGTTTGCTTGTAGGTAAAAATAACATTTTTCATGATTGTTGTGAAAACTGAGAAGCATTTAAAACCTGACAACACTAAACATTTTTCTTTCCCAGGCTCTTCCTACTCATCAGCTCACAAATACAGGTGTAGTACCAACTCCATTTTCTACCCAACAGGCCTGAACGTCTGGTCAGTTGTGTTCATCTTCCTGTTGTGTTTAGTGCACATGATTTCCTCAAACTTTTCTAAGACTGTACATGAGATTGTACAGCATGATTTTCTGATCTTAGTAGCAGAGTCTCTGAAGTTACTAACCCTTTTACTCTCAGCTCTCAAGAATGAGTAGAGGACTTTGCAGAAGCTACATTGAAGTATGGGATATCCTGATTAAATATAAATGAAAATTTAGCTTTTTAAAATTTTTTTAGGGAAAGGTCTACAGGGTGTTCAGGGTCTTACTACTAGATCAGACTCATAGTGATCCACCTGTTTCCCAAGAGCTGGGATTACAGGCGTGCACCGCCACACCCAGTCTCAATTGCTGTCTCTGCACGCCCCAGGGGCGGGGCTGACGCAGCAGGCCTGGGAAGCTCTCCACTATTAAGGCAGTTTGCAAAATGTGAAACAGTGCATCTTCATTAAAAACCTTGATTAAGAAAATATGGTAATTTTCATTAAAATGTTATTTACATTAGCATAGGACAAGGGTCAAAGGGTCTGGAAACCATTTTGAGAATCACTAGTTTAGTCAACTCTGGGAGTAAAATTTGCAATGTAAAGCCAGACTTCTTTCAACAGATTCCATGTTACATGCTCCCATCTCTCAACCTTTGAGGGACCTTAAATGTTCTCCACCTTCCCTTTGCTAGAAAGAAATTAAGAATATAAGCAGCAAGTTACTGGCTCTAATCCCATAGAAGGTTATAGTTCTTCTCAGCAGGGATCTGGAAATAGTAACACCACGTGAATTTTACTAAGATGGCTGGCTGTTAACGATTGTGGCTTTTGTCTTATCTTTCACACAGAATTTACATAGCACTTTGGCATAGCAAAATGAAATGCAGTGGACCAACAGTGATATAACTGAAGGCAGCAACGCCAAAATAAAGTCAGATCACTGGTCAGGAAGACTCTCTGAAGAGTAAGTATGATATGTCGTTAACAATTAATTGGGTTTTAGCTAGGTGTGGGAATTTAGAAAGGAGTGAACTCATCACTCCTGGAGTTCAATTCGTAGTACTCCTTTAAAAGAAGGATTAAAAAAAGGGGGGGGAATTAGGTTATAAGTGGAAAATATAGGCTATGTCTGTGAAAAGAAATTGTGGCTTGTTTTTGAGGCCTCACTTATACTTGCAAATTGGGCCAGATAACAAAGCAAAGGCTGGAGAAGACACAGGTCCTACATTAATTGTTTAAGTTGCATGTGAGGCCTAGGAGTTATTCGTAAGTAGTGAGAAATCATGTAGGAACAAGACCATATTCTATAACTATCTGAATCCCCATGGTTACTGTGGTGACCATTTTTCAAGGAAAACTGAAGGCTTTTTTTAGTCAGGAATTTTTTTTTTTTTTTTTTGGTCTTTTTTAGACAGGGTTTCATCATGCACTCCTCCTGGCCTTGAACTGTGTAGTCCAGGTTGGCCTCAGACTTAGGGCAATCCTCCTGCCTCAGCCTCCCAAGTGCTGAGATTACAGGTGTGTGCCACCATACCCAGCTCAAAAGGACTTTTATCTTGACCTAGGAGCCAGTTTAAAGAACAAAATATTTACAGTGCTGGAATTTGAATGGCTTATGAGAGAAGTAGTGTTTATATACAGAATATATCTTACCTAAGAGAGTTTTAATTGGTTTCAATGATACGGCATTCAGGAACTCTTGTAAGAACGTCCAGTCTCCTTCAATTACTGCCAGGTGCATGTCTTCCCTGGCTTTTGTTTTCTCACAGCTTTATGATTCTCCCATATAACACATTACAAGCTTTTCTTTCATCCAGTCCTCCTCTGAAGAGGTTCTTGGTCAGTGCCTTGGTGGCCGTAGCTTTCTTCCTTCTGTGTGAACCTTCTTGAACCTTCCATTTGGCTCCACATGTGAGTCAGTGATGACACAGAACCTGGGAGATCATCCCTGGGTGAATCTAATTAGTCTCATTCATTCTGCTTAGAGTTTATGAAGGATAAAATCATCTGATACAGGTTATTCTTTTTTACTTTTATCCAAAAGATACACTGCTTAAAACTGGAACCTGTGTAAGTATGCACCCTCTCCCACTTTCAGTCAGAACTGGCTTGTCTAAAACTCAGCTCCTTGTTTTCTTGGCCCAGAGAGGCCTCATCAGGTCACTGCATCCAGGCAACACCACTTGGCAGTCGACAGGCTGGCAGTGAGGCTTGTGTCCTGGCACCACGAGCCTGCGGTGGAACTTTCTCAGAGAAGGCAAGTCAAACCACAGTTAAGTGTGAGCACAGAGCAAAACTGCCATGTAGGGAAATACCTGAGTGGTTCTTTTTATATCTGTATTTGTGAAAATAAATGCTGTATTTCTGGAACTTTAAAAATAGATGCGTATCAACAGATTATGTATATGCCTTCCTGAATATGACAGATGGATATATGGCCCTGAGAAGGAGGATCTACTCTGACGACAGGATAGCCTCCTGTCACATGGTTTTACTTTCAGATTCTCTCCACTATCCCTTTACCAATATGTAATCAGTGATGGGCTTTTAGAAAAATTTATTTCTTTTTACTTTTTATATATAGTACTTTCTTATTCTGTAAAATTTAGCAAACACAGAAAAACCTCCAAGTATAATTTTACCATGTACAACTTTTTTTTTTTTTTTTTTTTGAGGAATCGGGGATTGAACTCAGGCCAGGGAAGTGCTTATTCTACTGAGCCATCTCCCTGGCCCCTCAACTTCTTATAAAAATTATATATTATATTACTGCATGATTTTTATAACCTATTTTTCTCTTAACATCTTCTGCAAATTTATTTTGATGTGTTTTCTTCTGGTACTAGGCATTGCACCCAGGGCCTCACTCAGTGCCAGTCAACAGCACTACATCCTCAGCCTTTTCATTTGACACGGGTGCTCACTGAGTTGCTGGCCTTAAACCTGTGATCCTCCTCATTCAACTGCCAAAGCATCTGGGATTTACAGGTGTGTGCTACCATCCCCAGCTATTTTTTCATGTACAAAAAAGTCACAAACATCCAATTTAAGAAGTATTTTAAAACCAGTTTTTAGTTGGAAACGAAGTCTCCTTCCTGAGAAACATTTTCAGTAGCTACATAATAGTATAATGATGTACCATGTATTTATAACCCATCTGTAGTTGTTAATATTTGTAGATTACAGGATTTTGTTTTTGTTTGCTATTTATGTTGATTAAACTGTATTACAGAAAACTGTAAAGTCAAAACTTTTTTCCTCAGGACAAATGTCCTGAATCTCTTTCTTTCCATTTTGTCCTGACTTCTTCGTCTGATTTCTTGCAAAGGCACTACTCAAGCCTCAGGGCCTGCTCCTTTGCCTTTACGTCCTGCATCTTCCTGGTGCTCAGCCTTCTTTTTTCTCTATAGTCTCTCTTGGGTGCCATACCTTACAGTCAAATCCAGAAGGTAGAGCTGTGTCCCTCTTTCCTTTCCCCGTGTTCCTGTTATTTTCAGATGAACCATCTGTTCTACATTTTTGAGTTTCAAAGATTTCCTCTTGATGATGATCTTCCACCTAAAAAGATGTGAAAACTGCTATGCTAAAGGGCCCATAAACAGAACCTCTAAATTTCACTGGCAAAAAGGCAAAAAGTGGGAAATGCTGCCCAGAATCAGTGGAACTGGGTTGAAAACTTACCCATGGGCCATTATTCTAGGCAGGTGTTGTGGTTTTAGTAAATTAGTATTTCTCTATTCAAAACATTAAAACATAATGTAGGAGTTCATCACTTACATATAACATTTTGGTTTAAAAATGTTGCTCTGTAAAATAGCACCAAGATAACATTAGGTTTTTTTTCTTTTCTTTTTTTTTTTTTTTTTTTTTGCAGGGATGGAAAACAAAGTGAAGCAGTATTTTACCATGTATTTCATCAGGTCTTCTTGAAATTTAACTAAAAATATGCCACCTTTTTCTTCAGACAACTGCTCTTTCCAGTACCAGTTTCGTCAAACAAATCAGCCTTTAGATGCTACTTGTCTGGTGTTTTTGATTGTACTTGGGAAAACATTTTTAAATATTCTCACATTAGGAATGAGAAGAAAAAACACCTATCAAAATTTTATGGAATGTTTTTGTGTTTCATTAGCATTTGTTGATTTTTTATTTTTGGTAAACATTTCTATTATATCCTATTTGAAAGATTTTGTACTTTTAGGTATCAGGTTTACTAAATACCATATATGCCTATTTGCTCAAATTATTTCCTTTACTTATGGCTTTCTGCATTATCCAGTCTTCTTAGTATCTTGTATAGATTATTGCCTGAATTTCTCTAAACTCCCCAAGCTTTCATCTAAGTGTCAAAAATTCTTTTATTCCTTTGCAATCATTTTAATTTGGGTTTTAGTCCTTGCTTATGTTTTGGGAAATCCTGCTATATATCAAAGCCTGAAGGCACAGAATACTTATTCTTACCCATGTCCTGTCTATGTCAGCATTCAGAGTTACTGCCTGTCTCTTTCCATGATGCTCATTTTATTTATGGCTTTTATAACCTCTTCGTCAGAAGTTATTACCTTGGTACAGGCTATTCAAATAACTTCCTACAGGAATGAAACTGTCTTGTATTTTCCTTCTTCATCCCTCCCTAGTTACATTGTAAACTCTAAAAAAACACTCTTGCCAAAGCTCATTGTCTGTTTTCTTGGTACCTGGCTACCATTTGTACTGCTTCAGGTATTCATTCTTATACTTAAAGTACAGATTCCTGCATATATTGAGATGAACATTCCCTGGTTGTACTTTGTCAACAGTTTTCTCATTGCCACCATTTATTGGTTTAATTGTCAGAAGCTTTATTTAAGAGATACCTCATTACCCATAGATCCATTTGTCAACTGGAAATGCTGCTTCATTCCATTTACAATGCATAATCTTGACCAAATTGAAAAACCTATGTCAATTATAATTTCTTAATATGTTGTCATCTTAAAACTACAGCAATTACAATAAAAATCATATATTCCAAACAAGGAAAATTGGTGACTTCAGGACATACCAAAAATGGGACTAAGCTCTTTTTCCCTCTAATCTTTTATACTTTTCAGCATACTTTTGAGGCTATGATGTAATTTATTAAATAGTGTTTTCTTTTAAAAATAAACCAAGGCCATGAAGTTTTTATGCCTGTTCAGGAACACAATTAATTTGTTACTCATACACAAGTAAAATGAGTTAATATTTGACCATATTGATGTCTTTGTTGCCTAAAAATCTGGATGTAAAATGTTACATAAATTTGAGATTTCATTACCAACTTTAAAATATGAATTTAAGTATTTTTTCTTATTTAGAAAAAAACAACCATTTTCTTAAAATGGTTTCATATAATTCCTAAGAGAAAGATTAGTTCAGTTGAAACTTAGCTAACTTCTTAAAATATACACTTCTGGTCTTAATGAAAACATTTTTGGAAGAAGAAAATGTCATGCTTCTCATCTATGAGATACGGAGACTTGGGGCTGGGTAATGGTTTGTTGTGGGGCGGCTGCTCTGCACTGCAGGATTAGCAGCTCCAACGTGCCTGCCCGCCCTCCACGTGCCAGTGGCACCTCCTTCCACAGCAGTAACAGAACGTCTTCACTCACTGTCAGACCTCCCTTGGTGGGTAAGCATACTTGCCCCCATTAACCACTGAAGTAAAACAATAATCTGGTCATTTTATGAATTTAGCTGTGCAGATATTCTGATCACCACTTACAGATATACTGAAATGTATAAACCTAAAATGGGCATTTTCAAAACTGCTGTTTTGTTTTTGTGGTTCTGGAGATTGAACCCAGGGCAATTGAGCCCTTTTTATTTTTTGAGACAAGGTCTCACTGAGCTCTGGCTGGACTCAAACTTGTGATCCTCCTGCCTTAGCCTCTCAAGTAGCTGGGACTACAGACATGTGCCACCATTGGCTTTTGTGTTTATAGTAAGATATGGATTTTTGCCTGGTGTGGTAGTATACACTTGTAATCCTAGCATTTGAGAGGCTGAGGTGGGAGGCGGGGGAGTCACAGCGAGTTCAAGGCCAGCCTGTAATTCATTGTGAGACCTATCTTAAAAACAATTGTTATGCTCATTTATGTACTTAAAGATAAACATCATAATACTTGTCCTTACATGTTGTGTACAGATTATTCATAATGTCATTTGTGACCCACAGAATTGGGTTTATGATCCACAAATAAATTACTTTCCATTACTTTATAAATGTCCTAAACAAGTGCTATGGAGCATGAATGACAGCAAAGACATAGGCCAGGCAATGTCACTTGTGCCAGACACTCTCCTATGTATTTTATACACAACAGCTGGTTTCATCCTCATAACTCTCATGGATACTATTATTATCCTCCTCTTACAGGTAAGGAAATAAAGCTTCAAAATTAAGAAACTCGGGGGCATGCCCCGTAGCTCAGTTCTTTAAGTGGCTGCTTCAACAAAGCAGTCAGGCTCAGGTTGCTGTGGTTCGATCCCCACAACACAAGACAGCCAGTCATGCCTTGAAGGCATTCCGAAAAAAAAAAAAAAAAAAAAAAAAAACCACAAAATTAAGAAACTCACTGAAAGACCACACAGCTAGTGCTCAGGGGTTGAGAGAGGGTGAGATTCAAACTCACAAGTCTGATCCAGAGTTCGTGCTTTTTACAACTGTGAAACACTGCTCATTAGTTCCATTCACTGTTTCTTAAAAGAATGGTTTCAGTCAAATGTGAAAAGTGTTTCCTAGTTATTTCTCACTTGAAGTATACAATGTCCATAAACATTTTAAGGATTTGAGGTTCCATGAGAGAAGAAAACCATTTACTTGAGTACATAGTCTTTATATTAGCACTAGCTACACAGGACAAATCAAAAAGTGCTGTTGGGTAATTAAAAATTACTTTGAAATCTGAAATTTTAAAAATCTCTAGGATATCAAGTTTCATTTGTCCACATGGTAGGCCTTCTGGCTGCCCAAAAGTCCAGTATTTATTATTTCAATTCAAAACACCTCTTTAGCTGCAAAACCCCAGGAAATGAGTGGAGTGACTTGAATCATACAGCTACTCTTGTCATCAGGATCTGACAGCAGAAGATACTCCAAAGAAGAGAACTATGCCCTGTATTGCATAGTACCACATTAAAAAATAAAACAGGAATGGAACTCATGTTGTTCTGTAAAAAAAAGCAAACAGCCAACTGTGTCTAAAGTTTGGTAGAAGGCTGGGTGTCTTCTGTACTCCCAGCACTTGGGAGGCTGAAATCCCAGCACTTGGGAGGCTGAAAACAGAATCACTATGAATCTGTGTAGTGAGACCCTGTAGACCTGGTACTAAATACATAAAATTAAATAATCTTCATTAAAATAGATAAAACTTAAAAAAATGTTCAGTAGAAATAAACCTGCAGGGAGCCAGGGAGATAGCTCAGTTGAGTAAGTGTTTGCCTGGCAAATGCAAGGTCCTGAGTTTGATCCCTGGTACCCAAAAAAAAAAAAGAAAAGAAAAAGAAATAAACCTGCAGTCTAATGAACAAAAGGGTATGTTTAAACCTTTTGAAGGTCTAAACCTGAACCCATTTATTTCACTTTTCCTCTGAATGCCTTATCTTCAACTGGCAAAATGAAATATTTTTAAATATATTGAACTTGATTAGTAACAACTTACATGCTTTGTGGATTTTAATCCAGGAGAATTTATAACTATTTCAAAAACCCTCATTAAGCTTTTTGTTCAGATTTCCCCACATTTCATAAAGGAAAAAAAAAAAAAAAAACTTCAATAGACCAGCCAAATGGAAGAGGCTTTATTTGTAAAGAAATGAACTTACAACTGGTCTACAATATATTATTGTAATATAAACAATATAAATAAATGATCCTGTAGGCCCACTAGTTTTCCATCCAGACCCACATGAAGTGATGTTACAACAATATTCTATGTGAAAATGTGCAGGTAACAAAGGTGCAATTACAAGCAAATTTAAGCAGCAGAGTATAAGGTGCTTTCATTGATAGTTAATGTTGCCATCAACAAACATTTGAATGTTCAATCGTCACTGAATAGATACAACAGGAAAATTTAAAATTCATAACCATGCTATTTGTTAATATGAAAGTGCTTACTCTTTTTAAAAAAATACACCAAATGAACACTTTTTACATAAATCATGGTGTGCTCTTATAATGTAAAACTGACCTCATTTTCAGGCTACACATTTTAAAACTGTAGCTACAGAGACGAGTCTAACAATTCTAAGGCTAAGAGTGCAAAAACTATTTCATTTCCTGTAAGGAGGATTCTGATATAATATTCAAAGTAAAGAATACATCTCTATACAATCTTAACATTTTTCTTTCTATAAAACAGTTCTCTCCTTGGTGATGCTTTATCCTGGGTGGATCACCTTTTGTGGTTTAACAGTGTCAAAGTCCTTTTTAGAAAATGGGAAGAACCAAAAGAAGAATTTAAAAAACTGCTGTGCTAGAATTATCAAAAATTTGAAAAAACTCACTGCAACCATTTGCCTTTAACAAGTTTTTAAAGGAAAAAGACAAAAAAATTGTAATTTAATTAAGGCTTAAATACAACGTATGATTCAAATATATGGTGATTTTTTTTTTTGCGGAACCGGGGATTAAACTCAGGCCCTTGCGCTTGCCAGGGAAGCGCTTATTCCACTGAGCCATCTCCCCAGGCCATATGGTGAAATTTTATAAAATTTATTTTTTAAAGAAACACTGCCTTTGATCCCCCCCTCACTTCAAACTCACTTGTCCCAACATTCTCGCTACTTTCTGAAGCACTTCAGGAAGTCCTCTTCTTATAAGGTAGCATCGCTGCCACTGGGTGCTATTCCACAGTGCCAGGCTGGTGAAAGTGTGATGGAGTGTCCTAATCAACCTTACGCACCAGATCTGGCACCATGCAACTTCTGCTCTTTCCCAAAGTCAAAATATACATGAGAAGTAAATATTTTTAATTGAATCAGAGGCAGCCATGCCAGTTTAACTAAACACTCATGACAAAGGACTTCTGGAACTGCTTCAGAAAGTGGCAAGGAGGATGAGATAAGTGTGTGAAGTAAGGAGGAGCATTCTGAGGGGAATTAATGGCAATGTGCCTGTAACAAATGAAAAAAAAATCTAAAATTTTTGATCATGCCTCACAGCTTTTCATTACTGTCAGTGTTTGTCACTGTACCCTGTTGTCTCCAGTGTCCCACCTTCACTACTAGCATGTCCTTACCTGGAGGATAGTTTTTGGAACTCACTTTTGCCCTTATGGAAAAAACAAAGGCAAGTCTTTTAAATAAGGTGACTGAGAAGCTAGTCAAAACAACTTGGAAATTATATATCGAAAATTACCAGCTTTGTACTCAACTGACTTTTTAAAATTTAAGAATACATATACCAAAAAAGCAACGATATTTTAACAGCATAAAATATTTGAAAAAGTATACTTTAAAAATTAAAATATATTAAAGGCAATTAACTAGTACCAATGGAACAATTTATAAAACCCAGATTATCTGGCAATTGAGATGTCAGTGTTCCTGTTTCATCAGTTTGAGAGTCTCATGTAGATTCTAATCTAAATTTAGATGTTTTCTGCCTCAATTGCAACTATTAAAGGAAAACTTATGTTTTCATGAAGAATGTTAGTATCAACTGACAATCCTAGAGTGATAAAGGAATTTTATTAAAACTGATTCTTCTTTTCAAGGTTTACTCCTCAAATACTTGTCAATTCAAGTAAATAGTTTTAACAGTTGTGCATTTTAAAAGGCATCCTTGTCTTATGCAACATATATACGTTCTATTAATGATTCTTACATAGCTTTAAAAGGTGACTATCTTAAGATACAATAAAATTTGTGTAATCATACATAAAAAGCCTGTTCTACTGACTTCCTTTGAGATTTTTCAGTTTTCAAATATTGCTACACTGCCAATAATAGGTATAAAGTTTTTGTAGTTAGAAATGTACAAGTCAATGTCAATTTGTTTTGTCCTGTCATTCACCCTGTCCATCAGCAACTCTGAAACATACTCAAAGGTCAAAATAATGCTGTGGAATACTGGCTATCCCAAGAGTTTAAAAATGTAGCTATTAATGTTAAGTGCTCTTAATTTTATAATCTATCAGGTGTATGGTCAATTGATGTGTAGCACATGAAATATGTTCGAGGAATTAAGGTGTGACTGTCATCTGGTCTAATTCTTTACCCAATGTATAAAACTTTCCCTCTCCATCTCAAATGTAGTCCATTCATAAGTATTAATAATTATGTCGAGCATGGTGGTGCACCCCTGTGATCCCCCAACACTCAGGAGGCTGAGGCAGGAGAATCACTGTATGTTCGAGGCCAACCTGCATTACAAAGTAAGTTCAAGGCCAGCCTGAACTGCATAGTGAAAACTTGTCTCAAAAGAAAAAGAAAAAAAAATCCCAGATATTAATAATTACGCTTATTTAAGCCACAAAGAATTTTTTGGAGAAAGATTTTACTTAAGTTTTTAGTCATGATAAGAGCATTCAAATGGTCTATTAAAAGGATGCCTACTGAGTTCAATCCCCGGTTCTGCAAAAAAAAAAAAAAAAAAGGATGCCTAACTGTATGAATGATAATATCATATGTTCCACGGTCAATCAACAGGTAGCATTTAGGAAAAGGTCCTCTTTTGCTTATCTATGTAAACTGTCTACCTCAATCTTTAAGAGAATAAACACTGTAAAGTGGCCTGGGAAATGGACACTTAATAATCTCTTAGCCAAAGCTCTTAGAATAAAGTAGATGTGACTGTTTAAATATTCCATTATGGTACCTCAGTAGTGTCCCAAATTTTCTGATCAAGAAGATTATGGGGCCAAAGAGGAAAGTGATCGATGACATAGAGTGGGCCTAAGGAGAGTCACATGGGGAGAAGACACTCTCTCAGGCTTTCACAGAGAGCACATTGGCCAAGCAATGGCCGTGACTCATCCACATGGCTGACACTGATAAAGGTTCTACAATCTGAGGTACAGGATCTCAGGACAAATCCTGAGGGCATTTCACTGACCTTCTCAGACCAAAAAGCTACAACTCTTGTTGCATAGGTCTTGCTTTACCTTGGTCTTAACCATCCAGTAGAAAAGTATGAAGTCGAAATATAAGAAATAAAGCCATGCTGTAAAGTTGAGCTGTGGGGGACTCAGGTCAATAATTTCTGACACCGCCAGTTAAACAGAAGACCCAATGCTATTATGGGCTACTGGACTCTTTTAGAATATTTTGCTGAGTTTACACACCTATAATATTCAATAATGGAACTTAGAAAAAATGGGGTATACCGATGAATGTCCATTTTGTATCTGTGTATCCAAAGTGGTTGGGATAGATATATAGTTGCATTCTCTTAATGAATAGAATGATTTGTTCTAATGGTGTTTGTAAATAGGATCACAAGTCCGCATCTTGTACAGCAATTAACCACTAAGAAGAATATATGCAGTGTATTATTTGTTGAAACTGTACTTCCGATTTGATTTGAAACTGTCTCATTGCTGTTTATCAATAAAACTTTGGAAAAAAAAATTCCATTATGTGGCCTAGCATCATAACTATAGAGCTGGGAGAGACCTTAAAGATGCTTTATAAGCCAGGACACACATTTTGAGTATCGCAGGCACAATACATTTAGAAAATTACATAATCCCCCCAAGGTGTCTCACACAACTATTTAACCCACTTGAAGTAAAAATTCAGTCTCCAGCTCAGTGTGCTTTATCTTCATTCATCACGTTAATTCAGTGAGACTATCTGATATTCACACTGACAGATTATTTACTCATTTTTAAAATAACCAAACAAGAATATTTTTAAGACAAACACTATAAACAAGTATTTTTAACACTGAATGTTTTGGTTTACTTGGCCCAACACTAAAAACTTCCTTCTTGCTGGACTATGCTGAGGGCTGAACATGGTTGCACATGCCTGTAATTCAAGCACTTAGGCTGTGGCAGGAAGATCACCACGATTTTAAGGCCAGTGTGGCCTACAAGTGAGTTCAAAGCCAGCCTTAACTACATAGCAACACCTTTTCTACAGAAAAATAAAATAAAATATAGTAACAGTAAGGTTGAAGCTTATTTCAATGATGGCTACAATGCCCATCACCCTCTCAAAACCCCAAATTTTTCATTGCTGTTAATTCTCCTCAAAACATGTATTTAACAGGCAGTAATACATGCTGTCTAGCTTTTAAATTATACTACTATCCTTAAAATGATTACTAGAGTTTAATCTGGGTGGCATGAAAGGACATACTACAGTCTTATACTTAATTAAAACTATACCATGCTAAAATAACAAATGTTTTAAACTATACTAATTTTTTCTAAATTAATATTTATTTCTAGACTTCTTTTAAATGTCTTTTTCTTCCTGTAGATTCAAACTGAATACCATCAATATCATTAACAGCAATAGTACTTTCGAAAGACAAAATTTTTTTCTAACAAAGCTTTACCTTTAGCCAAACATTTACTTTGTACATTTTATGATTAAAACCATCAGCTTTAAGTAAGGTGAAAAGTTTGCAAGCTAGGAAAAGGGAAAAAATAAAAACCAAAACATTTGGGGAAGTGGGCAAACACTTCCCCTCAAAGGTTCTACACACGACACTAGAGTTGTGAGTGTAGGATAGGGAGTAAAATGGGGAGCACCTGTCCAGAGAAGGGAGGGCACAGACTTGCCAGATAGTTTCCTCTGGAATACGATGATAATTATATCAGTGCCTTACCACACATCTTTGTCATGGTATAATTCTAAATAGGTGTTTAAAAAATGCAAAACTTTTGGAAATTTAATAAACTTTCTTTTGAAAAAATGGATTGTACTGCTATGAAGGAAACTCTATAGTGGTACATTTTATGAATTTTTAACAAAAAGTATCTCCCCAATGTTTTAAAGATGTTCAACTTCACAGGCTTAAATTTTAGACAGTATATTAACTCTTCCTAATACTGTCTCTGTGTTTATTTAAATTGAAGTCTTTGACATAAAATTAAATACTCTAGACTAACAAATACCAGTACTGCTGAATGTAGATTACACCATTCATGTCATGATCCATACTGCACTGCACCTAAGAAATGGAGGTAAGCTTGTATTTACTGAAACTGGAAATAGTAAAGAGAAGCCCTGTAACTTTAGTCACTTAATCCTTTGACTGATAAAAACCTAAAAAAACACTTTTAAAATGATTTTCTTTATAAAAATCTATATAGTTGGTTCAAATGTGGTACCTGAAAGTGGAAACTCCTCTATAATTCTGGTCATAAACGCCTTTTGAGTTTTTGACAAATATCCTCCAATTATGATAGCTGTCATCTTAAAAAATTAAAACATCACTAATTTATATGTCATGAGAACTATTAATATCTATGCTCCTAAGGTCATAGTCAGTACAAAGGGAGTAAATGATAAATTTTATTCAGGCAAATCTTGACAAATTAGAGGGGACAGAGGTGTAGTTCAGGAGTCGAGTACAAGATCATGGATTCAATCCCCAGCACCACCAAACGAAAGATCCTAAACTTGTACATTACCATAATGGGAACTCAACAAAGTATAATTATTTTGAACTACTGATGAAATATATATTAGATGATTTCACTTAATTGCTGTGCTATCCTCTTAGGTCTGGAATACTTTTTATTTTCCACTTTTTTTTTTTTTGTGGTACTGGGGATTAAACTCAGGACCTTGTTCTTGCCAGGCAGGTGTGTATGCTGCTGAGCTATCTCCCCAGCAAGAGCAGTTATTTTCCTATTTGTCTCCTCCTCCAATTCTCAATTTTCATCCCAGAAATCCTTTCAGAGGGCACAGCTAGTTACATATGTGCTACAAAAGAAACAGGCTGAACAAACGTGTGCATAGTTGGGTCACTTTCTACTACCCAATGATTTCACTGAAACATGGCTGCTAGGTATAGTATTAAAAAGGGTGCCCAGCCCAGGCTGCCTCCCTCCTTAAAATTCAACTCATCATAAAATCTTATCTAGGATTTTTCAGGTAAATGTCTCCCCAAAAAAGTTTTCATGGAGTTCTGGGAGCTTAAAGCAACTTTAGGGCAAGAAGTATGGTGAGGCCCTACAATGCCATTAGTTAACACCCAGTACAATGTAGGCAGTGTGTGTTCCTACCATTCACCAAGGGTGAGTCTTTAAACCAGAGCCAGCCTATGCTGGTTACAATATATATCTTCAAATATATATATTTGAAGACTTAGCAGTGTCTCTAAGTCAGAGATTTCATCCACTGGACAGAGCTCTAAGGTCAGCTTTATTAACATATATCTATAATAGTTTACTCTTCCCAAAATTGCTTATACCCATGAGAACAGGGCCTAACACTAAGTATTCTTCTGCCTCCCTACCATACTTAGGCCACAGTGGAACCAAAATCCTGCAAATGTAAACACTAGACTTTAAAATACAAAACTGAAGAAACCAGTGAGAGAGGGGGCACTATGACAAATTATAATCCAAGATTTATATTTCTGAACAGATATCTGATTTATAATTTTACATTTAATACATGAAGAAAAACTATGTCAAAAATTATTCAAAGCATGGTCACAATAATACTTGTTTAATACAGTTCTAAGTATTTCAACATAGCAGGAAGCAAAAATAAACAATGGGATCACAAAATTTTCTGTTTTAAGCTAAGTAAAATGTGAGTATTAAAATCAAAAGTGCAGAAAGTTTCTCAGTGTGGAGGAGAGCTACATGAACAACAGTGGCAGGTCTGCCAGTCTAACTCATCCCATTCTCCGACTTGATTACCAACATTGCTTCCTCATGTCCTACCTTCTCTGCTCCCCTATGGCAGCCCTGTAATGGAGACCTAAAAAACATGCTGTGTAGAGGATTGCACAACAAACTTAGAAGTGTTATATGTCACTAAAAAGACGACAGGTTTGGGGACAGCAGTCTGTCTCATGCTATAATGATTATATCAAGCTGCCATAGCTGTGTCTTACACATTTCTATGCAAGGATTGATGAACAGCAAGGTAATACAAAAATAATTTTACAAACAAGCTCTCAGTGTGTTTACTTTCCTAGGAATACAAAGCTTAAAACAAATAAAAACTATGATTTTCTCCCAAATGGGAAAAGGAGTGCAACAGTTTAAAGTTAGAAAATGCAAATATAGGTAGCAAAATAGGAAAAGTCTCCCATGTTTCCTATCTGCTTGTTATTTTTTTCCTAGTCCTAAAACACTTAATAATGCAAAAGGAAATGAAATAATAGCACTCTCCCTACCTGTATCATACTGAATTGGCTCAAAGCTCAAAAGAGGTGGATAGCCTGTGATATATATATATATCTCCATTAATGTAACTGAAGCTTTGAAATTAAGATGATTATATCATCTGGATAAATATAGGTACATCAGTGGTAGAACTACCAGTGGACAGTAAATGAGCCACTTCTAAATAAAACAACTATCTTGAAAACAAGTGTATTTTCTGAATATGTTATCAGTGGGGACAATAGATGATCAGACTATTTTTAAGATTTTGGACTATACGGTATTCTGCAATAGAAATCCCTTTTGTAAGAGTCTTCTAAATGCTAAACACAGTGCTTGGCACAGGGGCTTAACTACAGAAAAAGATTAGTACAGGAAGTAAATAAAAGGAAAACTTGAAATACAATTCAGAGTTCACAGCTGAAAGGCTATCAATAAAATAGTAAAGAGAGATAAGCATTATTGCTTGGGGAGTCGATCCCTGAATAATCAGTTTTACCTATAATAAAGTTTTAATACCAGGGGAGATTTTCCTTTGTGCCTCCCTCCTTCATATCCAGTGGGCAATCTCTTACTACTGCTTACTCATATGTTCTGAAATTGCAATTCCATCATGATTACTAATAAATGAAAACTAATTATAGAGTACTACCTTTCCTTGAAATTTTAACCCAGTAATTAAAAATGTGATACAAAGAAATATATAACATGGACTACAAGCTATTGTGGGTCTGGAACATGAGCCTTATATTACATTACATATGCTAATCCTACACATGACTATCAATAAACATCATTTTTTAAACATCACTACACAAGGAATCCCACAAAGTGTACATTCAAACAAGAGGCATCTAAAGATTAAAAAAATTACCCGCTGTATTTTCGTATAAAAATAATCAACATTTTCTAATGTACACAAAGCCAAAAGATAAATATCTGTGATGTCTCTAGTGACATCTTTGATTTTCTACTAGCTCAACAAAATCTTTTGGAAAAGAGCAGTGAAAATGACTAAAACTCATAGGCTTCTTTTATGTTCACTTACTGAATTCTGTGGCTGAATATCAGGGTGTGTTCCTTCAATTATTAAAATATTTCAATTGTGGAAAGATACAAGCAATGATTCAAACAAAACTTCCATAATCTTCTCAAAAACTTTGATGTCCAGAACTATAAAGCTCTCAGTACTCCCACAATTTTTAGTGTCACAATTCTATAGAAAACTGTTCAGTAAAGTAAAATAATTTTTAAATTAGATCTGCTCATTCAAGACAAATCACTCAGTAAGTGCTTTTGCAGGAAGCATGCAAAGATTTAGTAAAGGAAAAAGGAATGTGCATTCTAGTTAGACTCGGCATGTTTGATATTAGAAAAAAATCCAAAGAGTAATCACACATCCACTGCAAACTTTTCTTGCCAGAAAAGATGCAATGGGTCATCAGGACAACTGAATTATGCCTTCATCACTGCAGAGGCACAGAGATATGAAAGATAATATGAATCAGTCCAGAGGGTCAAATTACTTCTAAGCTAGGCCCATTTTATGTCTTCTCTCCTTTAATACATAATGAACTTGGAAAAATACTTCAGAACATTAATACTTTCTGAATAATACTCCCATTGTATATGTATTCCTTATTATGCCCGATCTTTTTTACATCTCCCTTTAGGTGGAAAAGAGTATTTCCATTCTCTTCCTTATCAGAATTTCTCAACCTTGGCACTGCTGGCATTTGGGCCAGAGAGTTCCTTACAATGGAGGGCTGTCCTGTACAATGTAAGAATGTCTCTGGTCTCCTCTGACTAGACAGCAGGAGCAATATCAAGCTGTGACAACCAAAATATTTCCAGACATTTCCAAATGTCCTCTGGAGAGCAAAACTCTTCCATTAAGAATCACTGCTCTAAATTAGGAAAACTGAGAGGAAAGTTAATATTGTCACTCAAGCCAAATTCCTAAGTCTGGAATAGAAACTAACTCTTGATCTCCAGATCAGTATTATTCATGCCACCATACAATATTTTCTAAGAGACAAAGTATGGGTCTAAAAGACATTTTAAATTTAAACTGGTATTTCATTATAGATGATTCTGTTACTGGACCCCTAAATTATTATCTCTATGAAAACTTGTAGAAAATTAATAGGGTACAAAAATGTGTAAGAAAACAAAAGAAATGTAAATCATTAAATTACATTTAAAAGGATTCTTTATATTAATGATAAAATCACTTTAAAAAAATTATCTAGTATAATATGTTTCTTTGAAAAATACCGTGGCCCTCTATAATAAGTCTTTCAATGCTGCACATAAGCTGTAAAATTAATTTACCAATGCTGGCTAATTATGAAAATGTACAATGATTTTATCTGCAGAAGAAATGTCAGCATTTGATGCAGAGATCTCAATGTGCTTGGCCATCCACCATAAAAAGTATAACATTTTAGGCCAGATTAGGCCTTTACCTTACGAGTTTAAGAAGGGTAAAACTGGTACTACGCCAAAGGCCCATGGTCCTGTTAAGACTCCTTCAGAGAGTTGATGCGTGCACAGATCTTTAGAGCAGGGCCTAACTTGATATTCATTGCACTCATGAGATGGTCTTCTTTTAGCAAAAGAAGGGCCTGTCCATCAATCTCTTGCGCTCTGAACTCATCTGCAATATCCTGGCAGCCTAGAATTTGATTAGAAGAAGGAAGTTAAACACACAACAATTAGACATGACTTCTAATAGTCATATTTATGTTCTCGCTGAATCTGAGAATGTGAAGTACAAGCTGACAACCAAATGAAATTTAGTCAGAGTCTCATAGGACTTGTCCCTGGACAAACTGTATTCTGAAAATAAGAATTCTCACTCTAAAAATAGTATTGTAGAAATAGTAAGAGGTAAAAATATATAGTGATCCATCTCTGTATCTTACCTCAAAGCATGCCACACACTGCACGTGCAGGCTTGGCTTAACCAATTATACTTAATGAACTTATCTTTGTGTATATGTCCTTCACATGCAGAGAAATACAATGTAACGCTCTGTCACAAAAATAATGATCTGAAAATTATTTTCTCAAGTGTAAGAGTACCATTTTTATTATTTGTATTTTAACTTATGACCTTTATTGCCAGCTACATCTAAAATATTTTTATTGTTCTGATTATAGTATCAAGCCAGGTGTGGTGGTGCATACCTATAATCCCAGCACTTAGGAGGCTGAGACATAAGAGGCTCGCTGCAAGTTCAAGGCCAGCCTGAATATATAGACCTTGCCTCAAATAAGACAACAAACAAAAAACTGGAACATCAGTGCAGTGCTGCTAAGTGTATTACACTGCTCAATTTATAATTTCAAATGTAAATATATCACCGAATTCATTTCCATTTTTTATAAGAAAACAAATTTCCACTGAAATGATAAGCCTGCAGACTAATCTCCAGCCAAATAACATCTTAGCTTTCTGTCTAGACTGAGTGCTTTAGGAACTAAGAATACTAGTACCTATCCAAACCTCAGATGTTTTTATTGTCTACTAATTTTTTTTTTTTTTTTTTGGTCTACTAAAATTTTTGCACATCCAGGTTACTCCATAACTTCTCCACTAAAAGTAAAGAAACCAGCAGATTAGGTCATGACTTAAGCTGAAACAGGAGAGAATGCAAAAACATGGAGGCACCCTTCTAAGAGGAAAAATTTTAAATAAACATAAAAAAACTAAGTTTTTATATCTTTTATTAAACTCAGTATTCTAAGGAAAAACACAAAGAGCAGGATACATTACACCTTTGAATATTATAATTTTGCTAGAATGATTTTCCTCTTCGATTGCAAAGCTTCCTGGTTATAGCACCACTGGTGCATAACACATTTATACATAAGTGGAGACTGCATATGTGAATAAATGACAAACAATGGACAAAAAATATAATTTACAGAAGTGCTATTTATAAGACTAATATAATTTTTCCTGAGTTCAGCCATCTATTCCTCTGTACAGCCATCTATTTTATTGGTTATTTTTTTGCAATACCTTCTCATAGTTTTATCTTTACCATTTCCTGTTTTGGTAATTTCTCAGACTTTTAAAATTTGGGGGGCTGGGAAGATGGCTCAGTAGAATAAGCACTTGCCTAGCAAGCGCAAGGGCCTGAGTTCAATTCCCGGTTCTGCAAAAAATAAAATAAAATGTGACATTTCCATGAACTTATAATATTTGTAGTTTTGTCTATTTACCATATGAAAGAGACACCATAGATGAAATGGGATTACTCACCATAGAGAAGCCCCTTTTCCCAGAGATAGCTCTCAATAATAAAGTGGGCACACAAAACTGACTAATCATGCATCTAGTTGTGACTTCATCCTTTTTATGGAAGAACTAATGTTCTTCTCTTCAGTCTTAATTACAAGAACAGGAAAAGAAAGAGAAAGACAGGACAGGACTTACTAAGATTCAGAAAATAGGAGTAATGTGGGCCACAAGAGCTACATTTGAGAACAGAAAAAAAGTTCTCCATGAGGAAAACATATGTCCTTTTTCCTTTACTGTGAAATTCTTCTTGAGATGTCTTCTTATACAGGACAGTAAATGTATTCACAAGTTAAGGAACAAAAACATATTTTGGGAAACACCATGATTAAGAATGCAGCATCATCAGAATTTTAGATCACACTTTCCGAAATTAACTACAAAAAGGTGTAGTTCCACAGTACAGAAATGATAAAATGACTCTGAAGGAGGGGCAGAAGCAAGTACGTTTTCATTAGAGAAAAAATTTTAAATGTAAGTGCTGAAAGTATACCAAGGTAAGTCCTCTGAGTTTCTGACATCAGTATCTACTTCTGTAAAATGACTGGAGCCCAGCAAGATGTACAAAATATACACCACTGAAGCAATCAGTCAGCTTGGCTGGCTTCACCTCACTAGTACTAAGCGCAGTGCCACTCTCAGTATAGGTGTAGAGCTTTGTGCACAGGTAGCAGCTCAACTTTGTAAGTATCCACAGTTACTTCTCCAGCTAAATCCAAAACAAACTGCACAAAAACTGAAAGTAAAGTGATAAGAGGATCACTTGCCACTCATTATAGAAGATACAAGTCCTTAAGCCAGTATTACAAGAACCAATAATATTTGTACATTTAAGAAATGATCCCTATACTTTATATGTCTGAAGAGAAATAAAATCTGTGGACTCAGAGATCAGTTAATACAGAGTAACCTTTGCAAAAAGTGGTTCGCCATATCAAGGAAAAGTTAAAGACAACTCTCAATTGAAAAGAAACTGTATAGAGATCCTTCCTTCCCCTTCTCTCTTTGTCTTTCTTTCCAGTACTGAGAACAGAACACATTACCACTGAGTTACATCCTGAGGCTGGCCAACCTGATGGCCATCATCCATCAGTGAGTCAGTCAGCCTCCTTGTCTATCTCTCTGTCTCACTTAGGAATAGCAGAGACTGAACACAGGGCCTTTCACTTAAGCTATTTTTGAGACAGTGCCTTGCTAAATTACTCAGGTCAGCTTCATGCAATCCTCTTTCCTCAACCTCCTGAGTAGCTGTGACTATGGGCACACATTTCCATGCCTGGCTAGAGAACTTTTTAATATACCAAAAGTTATAAGAATAATTTTTCCCTCTCCTAAGAGGTGTACCAGATATAAGCGCTCTTAAAGACTCAACAGAATGACTGATGCAATAATGAATAATGAAGAGAAAACCTTAGAAGTAAATATAGATGCTCTAATAAGAAAAGAAGCCTATCTTAATTGGAAACATATATAAAATTCAAAAATTTTTCAGTTTATTCATATGAATAAAGCTTGAACAAAAGACAACTTAGAGAAAATGAATGAGCTGAAAAAGGCTCAGAAGAAAAATTAAAGATGTAAGGGGATCAGAAAAAAAAAATGAAGATTAAGGTATTTCTGGAATAAGATGTACCTTAAGCTACAGGTAGTATTCAGGGAGAAACTTTGAAAAACACAGATAACTGATCACAAAAATAAGCTTATTATCTGGCTTATCAAAGAAGCTTGAAGCCAAATACTATTTCAATGGTAAAGAAAACAGTTTAATCAGACTCTAAATCAGTAGCAAGCAATTCTAAATCATTCTTCTTCTTATTATTTTATATATTTGGTACACGGTCTCACTACGCAGCTCATACTCGTAGTGATCCTCCTGTTTTCAGCCTCCCCAGCACTGGGATTGCAGGCATATACCACCACACCCAGTCTCAGCAATTCTAAATTATAAAGCAGTCTGCTTTTAATGCTATATAATGTTCTCTAAACAACTTACAACAAAATCACCTATCAGTGGTGGCAAACCTATGTCACATAAGCTGCAGCAGGCTATTTGTATCACTGAAAGCTCTAAAAGGTTCACCATCATTGAGACCAGGGATCTCAAAAAAAGACGAGTTCTTAATTTTAGCAATATAAACTGAGTTTCTTTTTTAAACTCAACAAGAATGAGACAACGGAGTTAGCCTTTGTTCTAATAAAGCAGTCAAGAGAAGACATAGAACAAATAGATGCTGGGGAAAATTAGTCCTTAAAAAATTTCTGATGAAGAAATAAAACCATCAGTAGTATCTATTAGTTACTAATTATTTGGATGAGTAATTTCCTCAGGATATAAACCAAATCTCCTTTAAAACAAACAAACAAACAAACAACAAAACACAAGGATTTTCCTTACATGATAAATGAGACTCACACACAGATGTAATACGCACTTTAAGAGAGACTACTACAAATGACAGAAGCAAAGTCCAGAACCTGGTGATCAGTACAAACTCCAATGTTAATCTCAAGTTAGCTTTTTTGGGGGCCTAAAACCAAATCTTGTTTCATTAAATATTAAGTCATAAACCACTAAAGACTCATCATCCTCTAATATGTAAGTCTAAAGCTGATTCTAAACCCACATGGTTGATAATTAACTTAGACCTTAGTTTTCTTAGGCATGTGCTTAAATATCTTCACATGAAGAAAGTATTACCTCAGGCTGATGAGATAGCTCAGTGAACTAAGTGCCTGCTTAGGCAAGCTCAAGGTCTGGGTTTCAATCCCCGGCACCACACACTATACCAGCCTTGCCCCCAAATGCACTCAGCGCAGCCAGCAAGACTGGGCATAGTGGAGCATGCCTGCAATCCCAGCGCTGGGGACACTGAAAACAGGAAGATCACTACAAGTCCAAGCTGCATAGTGAGACCCTGTACCAAATATATTAAAAGAGAGAGAAAAAAGAAAAGTATACCTCTTTCCACTGGGTGTGAGGGTAAATGCCTGTAACCCTAGCAGTCTGAGAGGTTGAAGCAGGAGGATCACAAATTCAACGCCAGCCTAGGCAACTTAGGCCAAAGGAAACAAATCTTTAAAATCTCTTTTTTCGTATTTGTTACATCATAAAATGAGTAAGATTTGCTGATTTAAAAGAAATACAGTCTTTATATAACCAATGTGGATCTCATCATGAGCAAAGGTATAGCTTTAGTTGCCAGCCCCCAGAGAGATTTTTTTTTTTTTGCTTTGAAGAAGATTTAAATGGATGAAAAGAATATCAAAATGAGAGCAGAACAAGAAAACACAAATAAGGTTACTCTCAGTATCAGAATCTCAGTAACTGAATTTTAGCTATCTACCTGAAAAATAAAATTTCAGAAGTGATCCCAGTACTTACTGAAAAGAACTAAAAGAATGTAGCTTCTTTTAGAAGAATCAGCTTATTTTTTAAGAAACCATATTCTATATGGTGTTGATTAGCTTTCACAAATGTAAAACAAAACAACAAAAAAAAATATATATATATATCATAAAAAAGAGAGAGAGAAAAAAAAAAAAAGAAGAGCAGTAGGGAAGAAGTGTCTGATTCAATCTCTCTACTGACCTCTTGAGAGAAATCAGACTGAAGAGAAGACACACTAATATCTTCACCAGCTGGGGTATCACAGCAGAGGCAGACTGACTAGTCAGTTTTTATCAACTTGGAGATATGAAAAAAATACCCAGTTGTGCTGAGGGAATAAGCAAGAGGAAAGAGATCACATTTCAGCAGTAGAGGCCATTTAACTTACACATATTTATAGAACTTCTCTAGCTTGTTTATGTGAAAAGGGTAGAGGGAACATGAATATATAATAATATTAAGACCAAAGTGGTGAATTACATACCAGGCAAAGAATGGATGAAGGCCCAGACATCATCAACTGTCCATATAGAAGGCTCTGTCTGGGAAACTGGCAGCAAGTCATTGTTCTCAGGGATTTTCCTAATTCTTACGTCACGAAGCTCACGTTCTCTTTCCCGCTCACTCTGCCTACGCAGACGAGTTGTCATAGCAGATGGCACAGAATCTTCATGTGTAGCCAAGTCTTCTTCTGCAGATGGATAAGTAATTGGAAGCTGGAAAATGTAGTACAAGTAAAATACAGCATTGTACTTTCCTTGCATTTCTGAAAAGGGTATTGTACATCGAAGCAAGGTTTCTACAGACCTGCCTAAGGATATGTTCTCTTGCTGCCCCTTCAGGGCCACTTGGACGACGGCCACGGTGCCCAAGACTTTGATTATCAGGCTTTCGATTCCAACGACTAAGTGCAAACTTTTTAGAACAGCTAACATTGTACCTACAGATTCAAACAAGAAAACATATTAGAAAATGGCATCTCTGTATAACATAATATATATCTCAATATAATCCTGGACACCTATAATCAAGTACTGATATTTTTCTCCTGATTACATCACAACAGTGAAAAACTTTCTATAATATACAGAGGATAACTAATTTTCAGAAAAACAAAAAAATGCAAGGTTCCAGTAGAAAATGTTAGCAATAAATATTCAGAATGTCTATCCAAACTGATTTTCACAAGTAATAATTTCTGGGAAGAGATTAATGAAAAATACAGTAATATGGCAAAGGGAAGGTCTCATACAGCTAGTAAAAAGATTTCTCAATCATTACTAAAATTAAAGAGTGAGCCAGGCATAATGGCACCATCTATAATCCCAGCAACTCAGGAAGATGAGGCAGGAGGATCACCTCAGCCTGGGTAACAGCAAGATCATGTCTCAAAAAACAGAAAGGGCTGGGGATACAACTTAGTGTCAGAGCTCTTGCCTAACATGTACAAGGCTGTGGGTTCAGTCCCATCCTACCCCTTAAAAAAAAAAAAGGGTGAAAACATAAAAAAGTTACACAAGAAATTCACTGCTTTCACTATTCAAGAAATTCAGAAGTACATAATTCTCTGAGTGGTTGAAAAATCATTTTCTCAAAGTAGACTACCTAATACAATATTTTTTAAACACAGGTCTTTTATAAGCATGACTACAGCTTAAAAGAGTCCTATGTCATTTGGTGGGTTCCAAAGCCCTAGAACAAGCTTTAGCAAAATTTTCCTATCCAGGACCATATAGTACTTTAGGTTTTGTGGGCTACACAAGTCTCTGCCACAACTGCTTAACTCTGTTAACATAGTGTAAAAATGGCCATAAAAAATACCAAATGATAGTGGTTATGCTAGTGTTTTAAGATACTTAAATTTATGTTTCACATAATTTTCATGTATTGTGAAATATTCTTTATTTTTTTTCTAATTATCTATAGAAATGTAAAACCATGTGAAACTCAACAGCCACGTGAAATATGGGCTGAGGTGAGTTTTGCTAGAAAGATGAGCAAGACACAACTATCTAAGGGGCCGGGGAAATGGCTTAGTAGAATAAGAGCTTGCCTGGCAAGCGCAGGGGCCAGAGTTCAATCCCCAGTTCCGCAAAGAAAGAAAAGAAAAAAGAAAAAACAATACACAACTACCTAAGAATTTTTTTTTTTTTTTTTTTTGAAAACATGAGACTCCTCTAGAGGTTTTATATTCAAAACTCTTGCTCTAAGAAAAAAAATCTCAATTAACACTGCTTTTGACAACCAGTCTAATAGCCATATACAAAAATAACATCTTCTCCTGAGTTTTATGAATATATAGAGGTGGAAATATGGAATCCTATGAGAATGAACAGGTTATTTTCTCCAGTAGAAGTATAAAAATGGGGCCAGCCAAATAGCTCAGTGGTTTTTTGGTTTTGTTGCAAGGCTTATTGTTTGTCCCTTTCAGAAATTCAAGAACACAGAAATACCTTTTGGCACATGACATGGTGCAGAATCGTTTTGACCGTAAAAATTCATTAGCATATCCCATTTTCCCACAGAATTCACACTTGAGCAACTCACTGTCCATTTCTTCTAACGCCTCTGAAAGAAGAAAACAAAGAGAAAAAATTCCAAAAATTTAATGGTGACAGTGTTTTTTAAAGCTTCTATTTGTTTGGATACTGACACCAGAACAATGGTCTTTCAACTTCTGAATCCTTAGCCACTCTAGCAGAGCAAAAGCCTTCAAAAACAAACACCTCTATTAATTCTTCTTACTTCTGCATAAAAATTATATGGAATTTTCCCATTTAAGTAAGTGGAACATTTTTCTAAGTTTCTTTTGCCAAGATTCCAGTATCTCTAAACTGTGCAAACAATTTCATAAACACTATGCAAGAATCAAAGATGAGTAATACATAATCACTACTGTCCAGAAGCAACACTTTCAAAGCAGCAGTATGGGATATGACTATTGATACATTGTGCTGTGGAACAGGGAAGCCTTAATTCTAACTGTAGAGAATAGGGATGACTTCAAAATGGTGGGATTTTTATGATATCTTGTTTTTGAGACTATAAAAAAATTAAGTTCTTAAAATATCTGCAGCGTATAGTAGTATTAAGATGAACATCTAATAAAAGTTCCTTTTATAGTACATTAAACAAAAAATAACTTAGTCTTAAAATCACAAATAGTTTTATAATTTCCAATTGATAGAGCTTTTTTTCAGAATGTTCACCTATTAAATTAGAATGTCCTTCTTCTGCCCCTACATCTTTCTTCAGGCCACAGGAAGGGACCCAAAGAATCTAAAAAAAAATCCTCAAATTCTCAGCAGCATCATGTGTAAGTAAGCAAGAGTCAATCTTCATGACCCAGTTTTCTCATCTATAAAATGGGGTTTATAAGACCTTTCCCAAAGAATTGAGGTGACAGTAAAGTGTGTGCTCCACAGGGAACGGGCAATAAATTACTGGCAGTTCCATTTCCTAATTTCATACAAAACAAAGGGTACTAAAATATGTGCTCAAGAAATGCTTTATAGTGGCTGGAGAGATGGCTCAGTGGTCTAAAGCACCTACTTGAAACAAGCTTGGCAAAGCACAGGGACCGCGGTTCGATCCCCAGCACCACATGCCAGCCAGACCCGCCCCCTGGTGGGCTGAGCTGGCCACACACACACACAATAAATAAATGTAATAAATAAAAATAAATAAATATTAAAAAAAAAAAAAAAAGAAATGCTTTATAGTGAAATCTGTTAAATTCTTTTAAGACAATGTCTCACTATGTTGTTTGTGCTGGCCTTGAACTCACTATGTGTTCTAGGCTGGCTTCAATCTCACAGCAATCCTCCCGCCTCAGCATCCCAAGTGCTGTGATTTCAGGGTTGTGCCACCATACCCAATCAAAACCTGTTAAATTCCTACATCTACTATATTTTGTCCCTTTCTTCATCACAATTCCAGTGCCACATCACATAAAATATGCACCAAAAAGTACCCTACCAAAAGTTTTAACTGTGAGCTCCATATGTGCTCTTTCTATATACTCATTTAAAGAAGACTCGTCAAAATCAAGAGAGGGAGGATGAAATGTAGATGCGAGTGGCAGTACTTAGCTCAGGCACTCACTAGCTTTATTAGAAAGACAGAGGAAAAATGCTAAATCAAGTGCAAGTAGCAAAAACTACTAAAAGTATTTTGGAGTAGTATTTGACCTTGGTAGACTCCAAATTCATTATCCAAATGAACTCACAAACTAACAAGTGGCCTTTTTTTTCCAGTGCTGGGGATGGAATCCACACCTTCCTTCCTGGATGCTAAGCAGGCACTCACTCTATTTCTGTGGCATGTCTAGCCCTCAAGTGATCATTTTAGGAAAATTCTCAGGACTATCTTCATAAGTAAAAGTCATCTATTTACTTACAATGAGGAAGAAAAAATCTCAAACCAAATAAAAACTGCTCCAATGATTTAGGCATGGCTTCATCACAATCGGGACCAAGTTAGAACATCCATCAACACATTCCTGGGGCCTGATATTATACACTCCTTAGTGCATTATTTTTATTTTGTCAAACATATAACTTTATCTGACCTTGGAAATCCTATACAAGGGACGGAACCTTTTACTCAAGCACTACTGCCTTAAGAGTCCATTCCTCAAGTTGTCTCAAGAAATGGCTATGCTAAAAGCTCTGCTTTAAAGATTTCTTCATTAACTAAAGCAAAGATTAATACCCAATGAAAGGTTAGAATACATTATATGAAGAAATTGTCTTTAGTAGTGAATGAGGGGAAATAAACTCATGAGGTTTAAAGTTAACAACCTAACAAAAATATATCAATATTTTTTGTGGGGAGGATATTTCAATTTTTTTGAGACAAGGTCTTACTATGTAGTCCAGGCTAGCCATGTCCAGCTAGTACAGCAGTTTTATTTTTCAAAAAGTGAAGAAAGAGCTGGGTGTGGTGATGTACACCTGTAATCCCAGGACTTACTCAGGAGGCTGAGGCAGAAGACTGCCATGAGTTCAAAGCCTACCTGGACTATATAGTGAGCTCAAAGTCAGCCTGAATTACATAGCAAGACCCTATCTCAACAATCACGCCCCCAGGTGAGGAAAATTACAGCTCAGAAATTCTGTGTGTGACTGATTTTTTCTTTTTTTTTTTTTTTTGGTGTTTTAGGGAAGGGTCTACAGCATGTTCAGGGTCTCACTACTAGATTGGACTTGTAGCGATCCGCCTGTTTACAGCCTCCCAAGAGCTGGGATTATAGGTGCACACCACCATGCCCAGTCTCAAGTGCCATCTCAGCGTGCCCTGGGGGTGGGGCTGACCCAGCAGGCATGGGGATCGAACCCCCAGCCCCTGTGCCTGCTTGCAGGCACTTTAATCTGCTGAGCTATTTGGCTGGCCCTTTTGATTGAATTTTTAATAAATCTGGTAATATTCCTATTACAGCCTGTATTTACATGTTCCCCTAAAAGCCTCATGCAGCCTTAGGTGCTTTTTGGAGATGGCTGGATCTAGAATGTGTGATGCTGTGATAAAGGATATGATCTTTGCACTGATTCACAGCACAATGCTAGGATTAAGGTTGCTCCAATCTGGTGTGAGTGCCATAAGTGACAGAAAGAGGGTTGCAGTCGTTGCTGTTTGTCAGGTCCTGCTTGCTGCTTTTGCTGCCTTTCTGCCTGCCATGAACTGTTTTTCCTCTGCAATGCTACCCTGCCTGGGAGCCAGCCCACTATGAACTGAAACTTCTAAGAACTGTGAGCTACAATAAATCTTTCCTCCTTTAACTTTGGGTGTCATGTACCTCAGCAATGTGAAAATTATTACAACATTCCCAAGACCACTTTTTCATACTTGTGAATAAAAGAAATTACAAAACCAAATATAAAACTGTTGAGTCAGCTAATAAAAATGGGAACTATAGTAAAGACACTGATTATTCTCCAGCACACATTCTTCTTTACTATTTCACAAAAAAAACAAAACCTTCAGAACATGGATACCTAGGACAAAATTTAATTTTTCCACTAGTACTGATATCTAGGTATGGCTGATTTCTGACCATAGGAGTGTGAGTGGAAATGATTATAAACTCTAGATCATAGCCTTCCTGTCTCAGTAGTTAAAATGTGATCATGAAGATCAGCCCTTGTGGAAATGAGAACATTTTAGGGCTCATACAGACATAAGACACTGGAGCTAGGAGGCCCACCATCACCACGGCTCTCAACTGACAAACTTTAAACTATATCAGAAAAAAACCCTGTTATCTTAATCAAATATTATTCTGGGATTCTAGTTGAGTGAACAAATGTATATCCTAATTAAGTATTCCCCAAAGCTTGAAATAACAGGATCAGCAACAAAAAGAAGCAAACAAGGAAAACATAGTAGATGTGATAATTTGCCAGGGAAATAAGGTATTTTGATAAATTATGATCTAGTAAAGATTCTGGTTACACAGTCAATCCAAATACAACCATAGTTTATCCTTTAAAAAGAGAATAATTCTTATAATAAATTTATTTTATATGGAAATTGTATACACTACTAAAACCAAACCCACTACTAAGTAAGTGACCTCACCATTTCACTCTGGAACATCCCTGATAAAAGAGTAGGATAAACAGTAACAAAAACAAGACTTAGGGCTGGTGAGATGGCTCAGTGGTCTAAGGCACCTACTTAGAACAAACTAAGCTAAACAAAGCACAGGGACCGCGGTTCAATCCCCCAGCACCACATGCCAGCCAGCCCCGCCCCCTAGTGGGCTGAGCTGACCACACACACGAAATAAATAAATAAATAAAAAAAAACAAGACTTATAAAATTACCCTGGGAAATTAAAAAATGAAATTTTAAAAATTTCTGTGTATTATATAAATACTTCTCTACTATGAAGTGCAATAATCATTTAGAAATCTTGCATTTCTTACTCAGGCATCCTGTCCTGTTGAACTACCCTTTGCTTTGCCTCTCCTCCAATCCCTTTCTTCCTCTTCCCACCATGACCACTGCTATCAATTACACACAAAACTCTAAATATATCCTACAGTTGACCAGCAAAGTTTACAAAAACACACTTGAGTCAAGATAACACCTGTTTTATTACCTGAGGTATTTGAGAACCTGACTCTGCCAGTCTCAGGCTATTCTAACTTCATTCTTCACTGCCCCTTCCTCAAATTTCTAGCACTTTACAGCTTTTGTGCATTTATTTGTGGTATGCTAACCTGAACTGTTTTTTCTGTTTATCTTAAATCTATGCTTTTCTTTCCTGCGTGGGTTTTTTGTTGTTGTTGTCCTTTTTTGTTGTTTTTTGAGACAGGGTCTCACTATGTAGTTCTGGCTGGCCTTGAACTATGTAACCCCCAAGATGGCCTCAAACTTTTAGCAATCCTTCTGCCTCAGCCTTCAGAGTGCTGGGGTTACAGGTGTGCACCACCATGCCTGGAATACATCAATGCTTTAAAAAAAAAAATCCAACAAACAGGTCAAATCTAATCCTATAAGAAACTAACCAAACTGGAAATAATCTTAGCCAGTTCTAAATTCTTCATTGAAAACTTATCATTTGTTCATCTCAGTTACTACCTCCTACAAAACTAAATTAAAAGTTCCCCAGGCCAGGAAGATAGCTCAGTAGAATAAGCACTTGCCTGGCAAGTGCAGGGTCCTGAGTTCAATCCCCTGTAACACACACACACCCAAAAAAAAAGTTCCTGGAGGCAAAAGGGCATATTTTACTTCGCTATATGCCCCTCAGATGCTGCATGTTCATGACATTACTATGAACTATGAGTATTATGAGATATGTTGTGAAGTTTCCTAAGCTCATTTTCATGTTTCTCTCATGTATGTACACGGGGGCACATTATAAGCACTTTTTAATCTAGAGCTTTCATTTATACAATCACTGTAGATACAAGCAAAAAAAAATGTATGCACATTTATCTATACTTTTTCATCTCAAATGAAAAATGATGTAAGAAAATGCATGTTTTTTTAGAGATGCACATTGATGTACATGCCACAAAATAAACAAGTATGATTTTTTTTTAAAACAGAAACAATAATCCCAACTCTGCAAGGCAAGACTGAGGTGAATTCAAAGCTGGCCTAGACTACATGATGAGTTAAAGGCCAGTTTGAACTACCTAGTGAGACCCTATCTCAAAAAAAGAAACAACAACAACAAAAATAAAAACAAAGAGGGCTTAAAAAAAATTAACAGAAGCAAAGGGGAAAGAAGAAGGAGGGAAGGTAAAAAGAATGAAAGGAAAGACAAAATGTACTAAGGGAAAAAAGAAAGGGACAAAATGGAAGACGGAAGGAAACAAAAAGATGCATGACGCTAATGTGGCAAAATAATGTGTAAATTGGGTCATAATGACTCTGGATAGAGCATTAGCACACAATTCCCTCTGTTTATATGTATGTTTAAAATTTTTCAGGTGTGACAATCTTTTAAATTATAAAACTTTGGGGCTGGTGAGATGGCTCAGTGGTCTAAAGCACCTACTTAGAACAAGCTTAGCAAAGCACAGGGACCGCGGTTCAATCCCCCAGCACCACATGCCAGCCAGCCCCGCCCCCTGGTGGGCTGAGCTGGCCACACACAAATAAATAAATAAATAATTTAAAAATAAAAATAAAAAACTTTGAACCAATATATGTTAACAGTAAAAATCAATAAAGTAACACAGTGACAAACACATTGTAATAGTTCATAAAGTACTAATAATGACAGAAGTGCCTTCTTCTTTTAGAGTCAGGAAAACTGAGAACATTAACTTTTACCAGAATGTTATTTTGCCTAATTCAGCAATGTACTGGCACATACTGTACTAGTACAGACTCAACAAATATTTACAGAGGAAATAAATTTAAATGAAATATACTAAGGATAATTACTTATAGGTGTTAATTCACTACTGTATATAGAGCCTTCACTAAACTACAAACTATATCAATTGCAGGACTATGATCAAAATCTATCAGCAACAGTCTCACAAAGATGTTCCTACAGGATATAGCTAGTTGGATTTTTTTTGTCCAACATTCAAAACCTCAATCAAAAAGTAGTATGACATTTGCTGATGTTTTTCATTTTTTGGTTCTAAACAAAACTTCAGGTATAAAATACATCATTTTTACTTGTGTTTGTTTTCCTTCAGTCATTGTAAAAATTATTTTTATTTCTATGGAAGTCACTATTAGCATAAATTAAGTTAAAAAGAATTCTTCAACATTAGGAGATTTAGTGGTATTTTTCCTTTTGCATAAATACAAACACCTCTATGATTAGAGAGTACATTCCTAATATAGCACTCACATTGTATCATGCATCAGAATACAGAGATTTAAAACCAAACGACAGGGCCAGGGAGATAGCTTAGTAGAATAAGCGCTTGCCTGGCAATGCAAGGTCCTCAGTTCAATCCCCGGTACCGCAAAAATAAATAAATAAATAAATAAATAAATAAATAAATAAATCCAAATGACCCAGAAGCTCTGAATTTTTAAGCTTACCCAATAAAATTCACTATTTACATTGGTTTTTTTTTTTAAAAAGAAAGAGAAGCTGGGCATGGTGGTGCATGCCTGTAATCCCAGTACTCAGGAGACGGAGGCAGAAGGATTGCCACAAATTTGAGGCCAGCCTGGGATATATAGTGAGTTCAAGGCCAGCCTGGAGACTACAGATTTTGAAACTCTGTCTCAAAAAAAACCCCCAAAATAAATAAATAAACGAAATATGAAAGGAAGCAAGGGAGGATGTAAAGAGTAAGGGAGAGAGGAAGGGCAGGAAGGACTCATTCTGATGAAAAAATTATGTATTTATTTTTCTCTAAATGATAGAATTTTTTCTATGTTCAAAAGTCAAATTAATATTGTATCAATAGGCATATATCTTGCTACTTTAGTTATCTGGCGATTTAGAATCTGGTAACCACAGTACAGCATGTCTATTATATCAGCTACTCAAGAGGCTAAAGCAATAGAACCACAAGTTCAAAGCCAGCCTGGACAACATCAAGAAATCCATAGACGTCTGGTCAGCTTTTCCTATTGTTTTGGTCAAATAATGCACTATACAAAATAAAAATGAATCCTTCTAAGTAAAAATCTGTGAACAAAAATCCAAATTCTGTTTCAAGTAATAAAAGTAAAAATCCACAAACCTTCAGCAATCATGTCTTCCATCTCTGTATCAGATGAATTATCTGGATGCTTTGTATTGTTTTGTATCTCTGGTTGAACACACACAGAATTTATCACCTGATTATCCAAAAGAGGCCTTTTTTTAACAGGCTGTTCTATCAGCAAAGATGAACGACTCACCTTTAAAAGGAAGACAGGATGGAATGATGTGAAATAATCTCAGGCATCCACAAATAATTTTACTAAAATCCCTCTTGAATGTTATCTATGATAACTTACTTGTTCATTGATAAAATACAGTAAGTACTAACTCAAGTAAAAGCTAAGCAGTCTGGACATAAACACTTTTATCTCTAGTCATGAACAAAGTGGATGCTTCAAAATTTCTGTCAAATGGAACCCAGCGTCCTTGTTTAGCTAATAGTTAAAAATGTATGCTTAGAATTAATATGAGCTATCAGATTATCCCTATGACTGTTTCAGTAGTATAGTGTAACAATGAAAAACAAAGACTATAATCATCAGAATCTTCAGGAATTGGGATTTTATTTTTGGATTTTCAATTTTTGTTGTTCTGAGGATTAAATCAAGGGTCTTGTGTTTGAAGACAAGAAGTCTACCACTGAAATATACCCCTAGTTCTTTTTTCTTTTTCTTTTTTTCCTAGTTCTTTTTATTTACTTTTTTAACTTTACAAAATACTATTCAGTTAAGCAATTCTCTAAAATTTTATGTGACAGTAATCTTTCTCCCTCAAAGACTTTCATATTTCCTTATAGAAGTATAATAAAAAAAAGACAAGTAATTTTTTTTCTTTCTTTCTTTAGTGCTAGGGATTGAACCCAGGCCCTCACATATGTTAGGTCACTCTAAAACTGAGCTACAGCCCAAGCCAATACTGTACATATTTTATAGACATGGAAACTCATGATCAAATTGTTTAGGTTATTTCTTTATAAAAGCAGAATCAACACTACAGCTCAAGTCTCCTAACTTCTACTTTAGCAAACTATTCCACTATGAATACAAATAGAAAATCTGCAAACACTGTTAATATGATTATCAACAAAATACTTACTATGTTTAATATACTTGGTTGTTGTATTTATTTTAGATGTATTTTCAGAAAAAAAAATAACTCAAACCAAAATATTCACTGATTTTCTAGGCAACCTCTCAGCTAAATGAAAAAGAAGATTAGAACTTTTCATTCCTCAAAAATGCTGGCTAAGTCTTCAATATCTTCCATACGTGGAGAATTACAGCTTATTAAAATCTCATTTAACTTTAAAGCAAAATCAAAATTTTAAGCCAAACAAAATTAAAATAAAGTTTTGATTTGCTTTTATTCCAGTAAAGTATTATAAAATTTATAGAAGGTATTCCTAGGGTAAAAAAAAATCTTAACATTCAGTATTGCTAAGGGCCTACACTTCCAGTGGATGAATAAACTTAAATAATCTTTCCAAAAATAATCTGACAATATATTACATCTTATGGATATATATGTAATATGATACAACTAGTTGTAGGAACTTCTAAGAAAGTTATTTAAAATGTGAACAATATATAAATATTCAAAGACATTCTTTTAGGATCTTTTGATGATGCTAGGGATTAAAAAAGAAAAAAATATATATTAACCTGGATTATGTGGATATACACATATACTACTGGAAATTCTATGAATTTCTCAAATTTTCATTTAGAGTATATAATACCTTTGTAATCTGAAAAATAATTATAATTGTTACAGTGATAACAGGTAATAAAATCAATGACCACTGAGTGCAGATACTATATATAATAATATGCACATTTAATTCTCACAACAACTCTAAGAACAAAGTGCCATCTCTAACTGCCAGATAAATAAAATGAAGATTGTAAAGGCTGAATGATTGGAAAAAAGTTGGTCACTATACACAGCACAGCCAGAATCCAAACACATTTATTATATGTACTATTTTATCTGAGAAATAAAAAAAGATTTTTCCTACATCCACTATATCAGATTTATACAAAAGTCAAGTTCAGCACGCGCGCACATACACACACACACACACACACCAGCTATCAAAATGCACAATCTTCAGGAGAAATACGTTTTTTAATGTCTACTCTTTTTTTTTTTCTAAGGAAAAATGTTTGTCTCTAGGTATTACCATATAAATTATCTACCTCAATGACTAAGTAGTGAAGGCATGTGGTGAAAGAACTTTCATTTGAGGTGAACATATTAAAGCATTTTAAAAATCTGGTTAAAACCACTAGGAAGACAGTGTGCAATATGTTAATTGTTGGAATTGTCCTACCAATTTGATTTGAAACTGTCTCATTGCTATTTATTTCTCAATAAAATTATGGGGAAAAAAATCTGGTTAAAGAAAAAAAATCTGGTTGAAGGATGAAGTTTTGGGAAAATTTATTTTATAATCATAACCTATTAATTGGATAACCTACAGATATATTAGAGGACTCAGCAAAAGTTCACAAAATATTACATATAAGAAACACCATTTTAAAAGACATTTCAAATGTCACATTAATACCTTAAAAAAAAATCTATTTCATTGAAGTAAGCTTTCCACTTCCTGACTTTCTCCATAAATACAAAATCAATGCCCCCATACTGAATTTTTGTTCATTTTTCCTTACTTGTATGTCTAACTAGATAACACAAGACCCTAGAAATATATCTGAATTATATAGAGCACAGAGTTACATTCCAGATAAACATTATAAGCTTTTTCTTAGAGAATAATACAAATTTTAAAAAATAAAGCTGTGGCTCTTCCTGTGAGCTGCCTGAGGTGACCTGTGAAAATGGTTTGCCACTCTCTCAACCCAGAAAACCCCACAAAATTATGCAAAGCAAGAGGCTCAAATCTTCACGTTCACTTTTAAGAACACGTGTAAAACTGTCCAGTCTATCAAGAGTATGCATATCTGAAAGGCCACCAAGCACAGTGTGCCATTCTGTCATTACAATGGTGGAGTTGGTTTGCTGGGTGTGTCTAGGCCAACAGTGGGGCTGGACACAGGGTCAGTGGCCCAAAAAGAGTTCTGAATTTTTGCTATACATGCTTAAAAATGCAGAGAATAATGCTGAGCTTAAGGGTTTAGATGTAGATTCTCTGGTTATTAAACATACCTAGGTAAACAAAGGACCCAAGATGGGCCGCTGTACTGATAGAGCTCATGGCCAGACTAACCCATACATGACCTCCCCCTGCCATATTGAGATGCTCCTCACTGAAAAGGAACAAATTTTTCCTAAACCATAGGAGGAAGTTGCACAGAAGAAAAAGATATCCCAGAAGAAACTGAAGAAACAAAAACTTATGGCACAGGAATAAATTAAAAATAAAATAAATGCAAATAAAATTAATATTGTCTATTAGTTAAAAAAATAAAAATAAAATTAAAATAAAGCTGTGAATGATAATTCTTAAAAACCATAAATACTACTTACAGGAAATGGCTCCAATCCCTCCTGAATTACAAACCCTTCAATAACATGGGTCAAGATCTGCGGTTTGACAATAGCCTGTGGAGGCTTGTTCTCAACACTGGGAATGCTACCAGGCATAGATGCGCTATTAGTCCTTGTGGTAGCAGCTGGAAGTAAAAGTGGAGGTGGAGGAATAGAAACATGTGAAGGATCTGATGGAGATTTAATTACTGAAGCACTGACTGATGCCACAGCAGGTAATTCTACTTGCTCTGGAAAAAAAAAAAAAAAAAAGTTATTTTTTTGATCATTAGTATTTTGCCTGTACAATACTTAATATCTGGTGTTTTAAAAAACTGGCCTAAGAACTTCGTTATCTCACTTAATCTACACAATAACCGAACAACGTAAAAATCACTATCATCTCTACTTAACAGAAGAGGATAGCTTGCTCAAAGTTATTCAAACATTATTTTAAGGCTGGGGACATAGCCCAGCAGCACAAGTGCAGGCCTGGCAAATGCAAGGTCTTAAGTTTCAATTCCCAGTACCAGAAGGAAAGACAAGACAGACAAAACATTATTTTAAAAACTCTCCTTCATAAGACACAAAAATGTTTTAGAATACCAACTTAAAAATAACTGTAAGAATGCTTAGTTGGGTTACTTTTTGGTTTTTGGAGGGGCCGGGGAGATGGCTCAGTAGAATAAACGCTTCCCTAGCAAGCGCAAGGGCCTGAGTTCAATCCCCAGGTCCAAAAAAAAAAAAAAAAAAAACAACTTTTTGTTTTTTGGGTTACACCAATACATTCCCCATGTTCCTGTTTCTGTATTTCAAAAGTCATGAGAGCCGAGGAGATGGCTCAGTGGAATAAGTGCTCCCCTGGCAAGTGCAAGGGCCTGAGTTCAATCCCCGGTTTTGCAAAAGAAAGAAAGAAAGAAAGAAAGAAAGAAAGAAAGAAAGAAAGAAAGAAAGACAGACAGACAGACAGACAGACAGACAGACAGACAGACAAAATCAAAAGGCATGAGGAGGCAGGCAAATATCTTTAAAAAAACAACAACCCATACATTCATAGAAAACTTTAAGTGAGTGACACCCTTAACTTTAAGCAGTAAGTCGCCTCCAACATCTCACACAAATTTTCTTTGTAGTTTTTTGGTTTTTTGTTCTTCCAGTTGTCTTCTGTGACACTGTATGTGTTAATCCGGGAAAATACTTCAGTACCATTCAAGTACAACATGTTGGGCAGAACCACTGACTCTTCTCCTCCAAATTCTGAGGCCCACAATAAGATAGATCTGACAGCCTGCAATGGAGATGTTACCTGCCTGTTTGGTAGCACCAACCTTTTATTCTCTGTACCAAACTAAAGAGATCTAGGAACATCAGCAAGTACAGATGGCTAAGGAAAACAAAAGGGCATATGTGCAAATATAATAATGACACTGAGCTCTCTTATACCAGGTACCATGTTCAATGCCTCACATGTAGTAATTTATTTATTCTTTACAACTAGCCTATGGACAGATGTTATCATCACCATCTTACAGATGAGGAAATCCAAGATGAAGAGATTAAATTCTTGCCTTAATGGCACACAGAAAATAAGCAGTAGAAATGGGACTAAGAGCCATGAAGACCAGTTCTAGAGATCATGCTCTTAAATTCTGTTACCTTCTCACTACTATCACTGAAAAAAGGGTTGACGGCACATACCAATTATGCTCAAAAGATTTAAGCAGAAAAAAATGTAGAGGAATCTGTAAAGAGAAAACTCAGCTAATAAAATAGCACAGGGCTGGGGAGATGGCTCAGTGGAATAAACACTTCCCTGGCAAGCGCCAGAGCCTGAGATCAATCCCCAGTTCTGAAAAAAAAAAAAAAAAAGTAATGTCTAAGGGCTGGGGAGATGGCTCAATGGAATAAAATAGCACAGTAGGGGGCTGAGTTCAATGGCAGATCACTTGTTGATCATAAATGAGACCACAGGTTTAAGCTTCAGCACCACAAAAAATTTAAAATAAGATGGCATAACAATCATCTGCCCCAGTTCCGCAAAAAAAAAAAAAAAACACCAATCATCCGCACATATTCTCAGATATGGAAATGCAGAGTGGGGGTGTAGCTCAGTGATGCAGCACTTGAGCACTTGCCTAGTACATGAAGAAAAGATCCCAAGGAAAAAATCATATATTATATATATATATACTTATATGAAAAAATACATATATGAAAAAAATGGAAACACTAACAGTTCACTATTAATAACACCAAAGTGATTAATGTATCATGTAGTAACAGCAAATATAACAGTATAAACTATGTTGGAAAGGTCATATAATCTACAAACACTTCAAAAAGGGGGGAAAAAAGGAAAACATACTAATTTGCTAAGTTTAGGAACAAATACAAAATTATTCATATGTATTATGAGACAGACAAACCCCACAAAACTCATGTATCAAATCTTCTCTGGGATAAAGTATAAAAAAATATAAAATTTTGAAGTGGAACTGTTAATAAGAAAAATATAATGGAAAACTGAAAACAAAATAAAACTATAATATCGTTTAGAAACTTACAGATATGTTCTTTTTTTAGAAAACTAAGGTTGTGGGCCAGGGGATACAGCTCAGTGGCACAGCACCTGCCTGGCAAGCGTAAGGTCCTGAGTTTGATTCCTGGTACCAACAAAGAAATCTAAGGTTGCACACCACACCATGGTTTGAAGGTATATCCTAAAATTCATGTGGACATAGGACTGTCAGTTAAACTAGTGTTTTAATAAAATACCCAGGGTTCATAGTAACGTGTAGGGAATACAGACGGGATCTACTTAAAATTCATAAGAAGCATTGAATTAGGGAATATGAACTTGGAATGTTTAAGTACAAGGCATGTTTTAATCCATGTCTTTTGCAAGAATTAGGCTCCAATTTAAGTACAATAATTGTTTTGAGTTTTTTTTGTTGCTGTGTTTTTGGGTGATTTTTTTTTCTTTTTTCTTTTTGAGAGAAAGTCTTGCTATGTATTTCAGGCTGGGCTTACAAATCACTATGTACTGTAGGCTGGCCTTCAACTCACAGTGACTCTCCTTCCTCACCCTATTATGTGCTGAACTAAAGGCATGCTCTACCACACCCAGCTTTAAGTACTATGACTACTTAAATTTTTTCTTCTTTTTTGGGACAAGGTTTTACTGTGCAATTCAGGTTGGGCTTGTGGTCCAGACTGGCTTCAAACTTGCAGTGATCCTCCTGCCTCAGCCTCCCAAATGCTAAGATTAACAGGCGCATATTACCACACCCAGCACACTATTAAACTTTTGACAGCAATTTTTCTGGACCACAAGAAATTGTGAGAAATATCAAATACGACTTGTGATTTTTAGAAAATATAATTTAAATCTTCTTATAGAATCTTGATTTATTCTGCTTTTTAAGCTAGGAATAGTTCAACAGGTAAATGTAAATAAGCATATAAAACGTATCTATACAAGCCACTAAAAATTAGAAGTGAGGGCCAGGGATAGCTCATAGACATAAGTGCCTGTCTGGCAAGTGCAAGGTGCCGAGTTCAATCACCAGAACAGGAAAAAAAAAATTAGAAGTCTTGATATAGTATGTTTTTCATTTGAGTGATAGATACTGAATAATTCATTAACTATTAAGCTTTGCTACTTTAAAGAATTTTTCATAAAGGCAAGTAATTCTTACTCTTTAATAAACTGTTATCCATAAAAATAAAAAGCGCTGAGTTTTAACCTACATTTTGCTATAATTTACTATAGTAACAAATTAACTTAATACCATATCTAATAAAACATATTTCCCATTACTGAAGTCTAATAGAAAAATTCCCCTAAATTTTGGGATTTTCTCACCTAACAAAGGATGTTCAGAAGTCAGATCCTCTCCTCTCCCCACAGTTATAGCTGCTGGAGACAAAGTGGGAGGTGGTGGGGTTCTGTCCATCCGGACACACTCATCAGATTCCTCTGGCATTTCCTCTTCACACACATCTTCTACTTGATAAACCTGCAATGACAAACCACACTGCCTTAAAATGTTTACAAAACTGTATCTAATAAGGTACTTTAAATTTTTTAGAGTTAAATTCTAAGTATATTAAATTTTAAAACAAGGTAAAATATTCTGACAAGTAGAAAAGAAAACTTTAAAATCCATGAAATGAAGTTTTTCATTATGCCTATGTCACTGAAAGCAAACTTCAGATCAGTTATCTAGGCCAAAAGTCACTAAAGTTTACAAAATGATCAGGTGTGAAAATATTTTTAATTTTGAAAATTAAAAAAGGCTCTAATTTTATATAAGTATTTCAAGAATTATACTACAGTTTCTGCAAATTTCTACTTGTCATAAGTCAAAATAAATGATAGTAATTTTCATAGGCACACAAGTAAATCTCCAAATTACCATGTAATACTATTAGGAAATACAATGCCGGGAGAACAATATCCCAGGCTGTTATCATTATCATCATCATTATTATTTATACTAAAAATTAAATTATGACAAGTATCTACAAAAAAGATGTACAATTTTCTTTTCTATTCTACTAAAGAATCTAATGAATCCTTTACAAAAAATAACTATGAATACCACACACACATACCCTAATCCATATGCATATATTTTTTATTTCTTTAATACTGTTCCATGTTTACGGAGAAAGATTTTAAGTCAACTACCTTGTCATCCAATTATAAAGATTATGCTTAAAAAGAATATAGACTCAAAAGTACTCTGAGAAGGAGCTGTTTAACTAGAAATTCCTGACTTACCAATGTTTTAGTAAACTTAAGGTTCTGTTTTCAGAGTGTATTTCTTGAGCTTGTTAAAGGTACTTTAACTGGTCATCATTTACCCATTATTTATGAAAAATGACAGATTACTGAAAACAAAGGCACAAGACAGTCCACTTTCCTTCTTCAAGCTTTTATTTAAATTTACAAGGATTATGGTTTTTAAGAACTTTTAAAACTGATTAATAGCCCAATAAATGTTAACGAAGTGAAAAAACCCTCAACAACATTCATAATTTTAAGCAACATCTAATAGTTATATTTATCTGTTGAAAAAGTTTGATGATTTGAAGGTTATAAAATTAAATATGAAAGTTATCCAGATTTGTGAATCAAACAACTACCACGGGTTATAAAAGACTATGAAGTATAATCTATAAAGGTAGACATAATAACAAATAATAAAGATTTTTTTTAAAAGTCTTGCTGGGTGTGGAGGCACATGCCTATAATCCCAGTACTATGGAAGGCAGAAGTAGGAGAATCCCAAGTTCAAGCCTGGCTGACACAACTTAATGACTTAGTGAGACCCTGTCTCAATTAAAAGAAGGCTGAGGATAAAGCTTAGTGTGAAGGACCCAGGATCAATCCCACTGCCACAAAATTTTAAAAATAGAAATAAAGGATTGAGCCAGGCATTGTGGCACATTTCTGTAATCCCAGCACTTGGGAGGCTGAGGCAGAAGGACTGCTGTGAGTTCGAGGCCAGCCTGGGCTATACAGTGAGTCCAGCACTAGCCTCAACTACATAGTGAGACCCTGTCTCAAAAAAAGTCAAAAAAAGAAAGTCTTTCCAAGCCTTTACTAAGAATAAAACCTTTTCCTTTTCAAGACCTAAAAATTGTGCTAGTGATAATTTTGTATCAAATATGATATACCAAGCTATGATCTGAATCAGTTACTAAGAACATAGCATTTTCATAAAGTTATCTATTAACAATCAGATATCTGGAAAACTATTTGGCCAAAAGAGACTCTACTTGACCTCTGGAGCTCAGAAGCAGTGATTCATCACTATACAAGGCAACAGTTATAGCTGCCAGTATCTGTTCACAATAGTAACTTTAAAAAGATGACAACACCCAATATAATGAAAATCATCCAAAAAAATCTGGAAGTGAACAAAAAAGTTCTTATTTCTAGTACCTTTTTTGCACCTGCTGGTGTAGTGATTAATTTGCCTGAGCAGTAAGGGAATTAATTCAGGGTAATGAGATAAATAAGATCTTATTATTAAAACTAGTTTGATTTTTACCTACATAGCATTTCCTTTAGTAGATTTTTAAAACTTATTTCTTAAAATGCTGACATTCTAATCTTTGCTGCTATCACATGTTATGCAAACATCTGCTACCTATCTGTTAAGGAATCAAAGCTTGATTATGCATAAAAGATTTTTTTTTTAGTGAAATTGTTTTAAAGGATGGAAAGACTCAAAACACAAACATTTTAAAAATACAGTAATCTATCAAAGAATACTGTTAAATATTTCTCATTCTTTACAGTTAAGACTAACCAACATGTTATTTTTTCCAAATCTCCAATGTGAAAACAAAATAAGTTAATAGAAAAAGTAGGCAAAAACAAATCTATCACAAACATCTGGTACAATCAGCACAAATAAATCTAAATGCAAGAACTAAAACACTGAAACAAGCAAACATGTGGAGGTTTTGCTCACAAGATCATTAGGGAACTGCACATCACAATTTCTGTTTAGCTCATAACCATCACTATTCTAAAAATAACAAAGACTGCCAAACTTACCTCAATTAAGTCCATTATTCCCATCTGTCTCCCTTTCCTAAATAAACTGAGGAACATTTGTTTATTAGTTCTAAATTATCTACCCTCAACATCTTATTTATACCCAATGTCAATTTTAAAAAAGTTAATAGAACTTTAAAAAAACACACTGATTTTACTTTGATAATTCACTCTTATCTTTCAAAATTTCACATCTCTTAAGAAATAAATTTATCTCTCTACCTTTAAATATTTGAAACAACCAAGAAAGTATAATTTGCTAAATGTGTTTTGACAGAAAAATACATTTAGCCAAAGATAATGAAAAGAAAAATATACCAATTTAATAAACAGAACTACATTATTCAAAGAAATGTAAAAGATAAGAAAAGGTAGCATGAACATCTACAACAAACATAGTAACTCAGTAACAACAGAGAAAGTTATTAATTTCACAGGAAAAAAGTTCTCCAGAAATGAGATAAGAAACTTTTGTAATCTATAAAAGGACAAGCATAAAATAGAACTTAAATATTTTCAGCTTTATTTCACTTTCTCTTTTTTCTTTTTGGTTTTTTGAGACAAGGTCTCTCTATGGAGTTCCAACTGGTTCTTAAACTCATTACGTAGCCCAGGATGGCCTTAAACAAGAGGTGATGCTCCTGCCTCTGGCCTACCAAGTGCTGAGATTACAAGCGTGCACCACTATGTCCAGCTTAATTTAGTTTTTAAAATGTTGAATTTTTGGAGTTTCTATCCAAATGTTCCCTCTAACAAAAACATTAGAAAAATACAAGAAATATTAGAAAAGTTTTATTTTTATTTGTTAAAAACCAAATCACTGAACTAGGTGAAAAAATAAATTTCAATTAAATTTTATTCTTTGAAGGTACAGTATATATTTCCTAAGTGTGAGTTTTTACATACCCTCTGTGAACTCCTCAAAAATCCATTAAAAGAATATTTAGATACCATAATTAAATAACATATTATTTCTAACATTTCTTTTGGTCAAGTTCTAATTTTTAAAAAGGGAAAAGGAAGTAGAATTAAATTTCTTTATGCCTATTTAAGATCACTCACATGGCAAGAATAAAACACCTATAAATTTATAACCTGAGATCCAAATGTTTCCCATTAATGAAACAACTTTGAAACTCTTTTCCTGAGTTAATGGTTATTTCATTTTAAGTAATACAAATTTCTTCTAGGAATATTCCATCAGAGATTATAAATTTTATTATTTTGACTAAAAGTTTAAAGACCTTATTTTTTTACTGTAAATTATTTTATAAATTATGAAGTCCTAAACTTTTTTTAAAAAAGATAACTTTCTAGGCAACATGTAACCCCTTTTAGAGGTTTATTATCATTTTCCTATAATTTCAATTATTCAAAACTTATTCCTCCCAGTGGATTTCTTTTATTCTCCGTATGAAAAGTAATCTACCAAGATTTTTGAGTTTTTAAAATGAGAAATATTTTAAATGTATATTTTCCCATAGTAGAATTTGAAAATCAGTTAATTTGAGGGCATTTAACTCTTTTTTTCCTAGAACAAAGTTTTGGGTTTTTTAAAAATAAAGTTTAAAAACAACTTCACCAAAAAAATTGCAGCATATATATACATCTCTACCTTGAAACAAAAGCCCCTTAAGGCCCAGGACTTCAGAATGCATACAACCAAAAAGGTTAGCTAGATAAATCATACGTTTAAGAACATACAAGCCAACAGAAGGGATCTATGAAGGATAATCACCTTAAGAGAAAAAACTTTGTGCAGATGACACTGGTTCAAATGCATTCCCTTGGGGAAAAAAAATCAACTCTGTAAAGATAGCAGATGGATTTGTTTAAATAGTAATAAAATTAACGAGGGACTTTTAATAACCATCACAAATTATTAAGCATGCAACCATACTACAACAAACAACAGCATTTTTTCCCCATACAGCACATTTGCCAGAATACTGACACATGGAAATTCCAAGCTTGTTAAATTAATAGGCATTTATATTTAGCAACATAACATAGTGTGGGAGAAAACAATTTTACTTTCAATTCATCAAGAAAGTCAAAGAGCTTCCAAGGGCTTACCACTGGTGGATCAACAGGTGCTTGTGGTTGTACTTGTAGGTTTACCGCAACAGTCTGTGGAGGAGGAAGAGTCTGAAATGGCAACTGGACCAAAGCTTCTGCAGCTGGAAGCTCCTCTTCGGACACCAAAGCATTCTGCACCAAAACCTGGCCCTGAGATAGAATTTCAGGCTGCACTTGTAAAGACTGCATAGACTGTAAGGGCAGTGATGGAATCTGAGCTGGAGGAGATGTTGACATGTGTGGAGGGGTTGCAATTGGGATTGGAGAGGACTGTAGGGTTGAATACTGCTGGTGTGATGTTGGAGACATAATCTGCTGACCTGGGGACACCAAGGCAGACTGCTGAACTGGGCCAATGTGTACAACAGGGGAAGCTGAAAGTGGAAGATGGGATGGAAGATTTAGCTGTGCTGTAGATTGTACCGGATTAGCAGCGGACTGCTGCAAATTTGGCCCTGGCTGCAGAGCTGATGACACAAGAGGGTGTGGCTGAATAAGTGCTTGTGGATGAATAATTATAGTAGGAGACTGACTTGGTGAATGAGGTGGTGGAGGAGACACCACTACAGACTGCTGTGCTGACTGTGACTGATTAGGAGATACTGTTAAGGGAGGGGGATGGCTCTGAATTGGTGAACAATGCTGTGACTGAGCACTGCTGGGAGCTGGAGGAAGGCCATGGTTTTGCAGTGGTATACAGTGCTGGGATGGGGGTGGATCTTGAGTTGAATTTTGAAGTGTGATTGGCTGGATTTGCTGTTGCTGCTGCTGTAATATCAGCTGATGATGAGAAACCTTGGGAGGTGGTGAATGAAGAGGAATCTGTTGATGTTTTATTAGAGAATGAGGCTGAATTGGAGAATATGAAGCTGTGAGAGAAAAAAATGACAATTAGTATAGATTTCAAAAATATCATTAGAATTTTTAAATATACCTAAAGAATGAAAGTTTTCACATCAGAAAGTCATAATCTTTAGAATTGTTATAAATCTTTTAACAGTGAAAAGTGAAATTTTATGACAAACAGCTTTTCCCTGGAAAACTATAAACATTTGATAAAATAAGCTGTACTTTGGAGAGTTCAAAAAGAAAACTACCTAAAATAGTCTGGCACAAATCTGAATCTATGCATGGTTTGTCATAAATTTTATACTTTACCAGAACAGTGCATTGATATTTAGCAGAGTTTATCCACTTGAATTTCATCTTTGAGAAAGAAATATTTGAGGGAAAGAACTTCAAAATCCTACAAATGTTATTAAAACACAAAATAAAGATCTCATCCTATCTACATCTGGCAGCACCTATAATCAATGTAACTAATTAATGAAACTCTAGGCTATTCTAAATCTAGGAGAGTACTAGTTTTGCATGCAATGAAGTAATGAAAAGTCCAATCTCCTTAAACAAAGGATCTTAAATCCTCTCCCCACCACAAAAGTCCTATAATAATTTATAAATAACAGTAGCAAATCTCCACAGAGGGTCCTCTCACAACAGGGACAAATAAAAATTATCAAAATCAAGTTGTGCCTCTTCTCCAAACCCACACACATGTTCAGAAAGAGGGAGATGCTGACAAAACCCTAACTACCTAAGAATGAAAACTGAGTTCATTAGAAGATAAACTGAAATGATTTCTTAATGTTAGTGCCACATAATCTACTTTTATGTTCAACCATATTTATGACAACACCATTATAAAAATTTCCAACAACTTTTTAAAAATGTTTTTATATTGTGTTCTTTTTAAAATTGGGGGGACCTTTAAGGAAATAACAATTGATTAATATCTCAAGAAACAGTGTTCAGAAGGTTTGATAGCTATCTACTAATCATTAAAAGAAGGGAGACTTGAAAGTGTAGCTCAACAACAGAGCACATGCTTCACATGCACTAAGACTTGAATTCAAGCCCCAGCACAATGAAAAGAAAGGAGAAAGAAAATTAGGTCTTATGCTTCCTCTAACAAATTCTGACATAGTAATTAGATTAGCACTTCAAACCAAGACAACCCTTTAAAAAGTACTGGTGAGGGGGCTTGAGTTAGCTTAGTTGTTTAAAGCGCCTGCTTGGGGCTTTAAAACTCAGTAGCTGGGGACCCAGCTCCACATGCCACACCAGACCTGCCCTAAAGGCAGCCTGAGCCAGCCAAAAGAAAAAAATCCCGACACTGACAAAGGTTCTAAAAAAAAAAAAAAAACCTTCTCTAAAAAGTACTGATGTTATAGACTATATTAACAAGTATTAATAACAGACATAGTAAAATGTATATTACAGACTATGTATTACATCACTGGAAAAAAAAAAGGAAAATTAACACTGGTTTCCACAGAACAGCTTCAAAGGGGCTTAGAGTGCTCTCTCATCTTTCATTTGTATTTATAAAATGCCTGTGGAGTAGGTGGGCATTATTAACCTTTTACATAAAATTGTCCACAATCATAACAGAAAAAGTCCTAAGTTATAATTTAAATTTAGCGCATTTTTGAAATACAAGACATTATATCCACTAATAATTTTTGTGCTGTAATAAATCAATATTCTAGAGTAGATAATTCAATAAATCAATGAATGGTATAGCCAATGGTATAGCCTTTTCTAAATTTTTCTTGGATCAGAAGTCAAACTTAGTACATATCTTTTATATTAGTCTATAAACACATACAACCACATATATAGAATAATTATCCAAATATTTGAAACAATACCTCTGTATAAGGAAAGCCCAATACTCTAGAGAATGTCATACTGCTTAATTTCTCAGCTTTTAAACATTTTTATTATTGTCAGAGTAACCTTATATTTGGGGAATTAATCACTGGCATTATTTCTTTCACACATTTTTAATATTTTAATACTGTTATCTACCATAACATTATTTCAATAGTAAACAACAAATCTATGAAGTGCACATGGTATTATACTAATCTAACATATTATAGATTAACAAACTGAACAGTTACTTCCCTGAAATCACCTGCATACCAAGGAGCAGTCCTAGATCTTAAAGATCCTGTAACTCTAAGTCTAGGAAACTATGGAGTGTGTACTCCAGCTGTCAAACCATCTATGTTGAAGTCTTAAGCCCAATGTGGCTGTATTTGGAGATAGCACATGTAAGGAATTAAAGTTACAAGAAGCCCTAAGGGTGGAGCCTTGACATGACAAGATTTGTAAATCATTAAGAGCACTCAGAGAGCTCTTCCACTGTGCACTTGAAAGAAGTCATGTTAACACACAGTGAGGCAGCGCCTATCCCCAAACCAAGAATAGAGCCCTCACCAGAAAATAAAGATTTCCAAACCTTAATCAGGATTTCTGGTTATCCAGTGTATGGTATTTTGCTGTCAGCTTCAGCATACTAATACTGAGCCTTCTTACTACATACTCGACTATTGTCTGCAAAAAACCTATTGTTTCCAATTATATTAGCTTCATAAAAGCTTTTATTTTAAAAAAAAAAAAGATTGACTGATTGATTGATTTGGTACAGGGTTTCGCTATGCAGCTCGGATTCATGGTGATCCTCCTGTCTCGCATGGCATAAGTTATCAGGGATTGAATCTGGGTCCTTGTGCTTGCCAGGCAGGCACTCAGACTGCCAAGCTATCTCCCCAGCCCCTATAAAAGCTTTAAAAACCACTGAAAGTGGAGTGTGTTGGAATATGCCTACAATCTAAGTATTTTGAAGGCTGAGGAAAAAGGATCATAGGTGGCACCTAGTCTGGGTAACTTTGTTCCCATGAATGAATGAATGAATGAATGAATGAATGAATGAATGAGGCTGGGGAGGTAGCTAAGTGTAAAGGTACTGGATTCAATCCCCAGTAAGAGACAGACAAACAGATAGATAGACAAACAGAGCTTTAAAACTTTTCCACTGTAAGGGCTGGTGAACTAGCTCAGTGGACTAAGCGCCTGCTTAGGCAAACACAGGGACCAGGGTTTGATCCCCCGCACCACAGGCTGAGCCAATCATTGAGACAGGGCGTGTTGGTGCATGCCTATAATCCTGGCCCCTGGGGAGACTGAAAACAGGAGGATCATTACAAGTCCAAGCTGCGCAGTGAGACCCTGTACCAAATACATTTAAAAAATAAAAAACTTTCCACTCTAATGTGGTTCATGATTTCCATTCACTTGGTTTAAATTCACCTTTATTTTGTATATTAAAAATAGAATTACTGAAAAAAAAGTAAATAAATAAAATTACTAACAAGTAGAAACTCCACCCTACAACAAACAGAAATAAAACCAAGTTATCGCAGCATAAAAACCATGTAGAATGCAAAATTTTTTAAATAATATGGGTGACCTGTTGAGACAGCTTCAGTGGAGGAAGACAAGTTACCAATTCCAGAATCTCTCAAAGTATCTTAGCTTCAAATTAACTTCCCACTATGGAGAGAAACCAAGAAGTGTAACATGTAAATGTTGTGTTTGTCTGTTTTTTTTTTTTTTTTGAAACAGAGTCTCGCTCTGCAGTTCAGGCTGGCTTTGAACGCACTTTGTAGCCCAGGCTGGTCTCAAACTCAATGATCCTCCTGCATCAGCCTCCTGAGTGCTAGAATTTCAAGTGCGCACCACCACACCCTACTTAGATGTTGTTTTGGCAGAAGCTAGGAATTTCTTTGAATAACTACAGTTTTAAGACTTAAATATAAATCTTGTACTTGCAAAAGTTTATGCAGTTCAGTGTTTCATGTGATTTTGTTTCTAATGAACAACATCATGGAAAACCTGAGTTTGGCTGACACAGTTAGGATCTGAATTTAAATGGAAAAACTTGAAACTCTAGTGCTTAGATTATTTGTCTCCTTCACAGTTATACAAAATACTGCCTTGCCCATCAAAGAAGGCAGACAATGAGGACATCATTACACTACCAACAAAAGAGGGAGGAGGGGGCGGGGAGGTAGCTCAGTGACATAAACACCTGCCTTGCAAACACGAGGTCCTGAGGTCAATCCCCAGTACCAAAAGAAAAAGGAGGGAAGAATGAATTTTAACTTGGAACCAAGTATTGGTATGGGGGAACTGAAAAACTCAAAAGTAGATCTCCTTTTCTTCTTTTTTTTAAAATGTGATATTTTTTCTGTCTGCTTTTTTTTTTCTTTAATGTATTTAGTACAGGGTCTCACTATGTAGATCAGACTTGTAGGCTCCCACGGGCTGGGATTACAGGCATGCACCACCATGCCCAGTCTACCTGCTTTTCTTTCCTTCCTCCCTTTCTTTCCTTTTGGTGCTGGGGATTGAACTCAGTACCTTGCACTTGTCAAGTGGCACTTGTGCCACTGAGTAGTTTGTCAGGCAGGCACTTGATCCCCAGCCCTACAATCTTTCTTGAACTAAACTGGAAAAGAGTTCCCAGCTTTCTCTGTAGATACATCTTCATCAGAAAGAAGTTAATCTATTTTTCATTATAATCTATCAAAAACTACAAGAACTGCTATATACTATTCAGAACAGTCATTTCAATGACAGTGAGTCACTGCTCCTCCATCCTGACTGTCAACACTGGTCAGATGCTGGCTTGAGGCTGGGAACACTCTGGAGAGTGCAGCACAAAAAGCCAGGCATCAAGCCATACACAGAGAGGATACTGGGACACAGATGTTCATCAAAAATAAGCCCAACTGCACACAACTGTAATCCCAGCACTTTGGAAGCTGAAGCAGGAGGACTGCTACAAATTCAAGGCCATCCTGGGCTACATAGTAAGATTCTGTCTCAAAAAAAAAAAAAAAAAAAAAAAAACACACAAAGGGCCAGAGATATAGCTTAGCAGCATGAGGGCCTGCCTGGCAAGCACAAGGTCCTAAATTCAATCCCTGGTACCAAAAAAATTATAAAAACCAACAAACCTATCTAAATACACTGTGAATGGGTTTACTAATTTATAATAGTATATCAAAATCTACAGTACTTCTCTAAGAATCAGGTCCAGTAGTTCAAAGTAATATATCTAATGCCAATGAGAAAGTACTTACAGTTTCCATTATTCAAGTGGAAAAATAAACTGTTGTTTAATCAAATATATACTGCACACCGCTACCCTCAAGGACTTTCCTATCCAGTAAAGAGCTTAAGATTAATGAGTATAAAATAATTAAAAAAGAAAGAACTACATGAGAACATAAAATGCTATAAAAGCTCAAAGTGAGGAAAAATTTCTAACTAGAAAAATCAATGCCAAGATACTGAGAAGCAGTGAAACAGAGATGCTGGCAATACTAACAGAAAACATGAAAAGAAACAGATTTAGGCAGGACAAAGGCAGACTTCAGTAATGTGAAAATCTTTAAAATTAGAGTTATCAAAGACAAAGAACAGAAAAAAGATCTTTACCTGTCAAGATAAAAAAAAGATTTTAATGAAATATATATGAGATACCTAGTCTAGGACATCTCTCAATATATCCACATTCACAAACACACATCACACTGGTGTAAAAACATATGCAGATATATTAGGGATAGAGAACAGCTGTTACAGTTTGTGTCTAGATGTCCCTCCCAAGCCTCATGCAGTCACACATGAGAATTTTTTTTCAGATACTGGAACTGAGTCATGGTGCAATGCAAAGCTCAAGGGGACTAGGATTAAGGGTGTGAGTGCTACTGGCCCCCTAAGCAGCCTGGATAAGGTATAATGGGAAGAAAGAACTGTGCTCTTCTGCTTGTTTTGCTACCTTCTGCCCACAATGAACTGTCTCCTCGGCAATGCCTGTCTGCCCTCCACCCTGCTTTGGAGACAGCCAATTATGGACTGCAACCTCTACAAACTGTGAACTACATAAACCTCTGTAAGTGTTAGGTATTTTGTCCTAGGAACAAGAAAAGGAACTAAGACAAGACTTCAGTATGCTTGTAAAGCAAAGGAAAAGAATTAGTATAAGACAAAAGAAGCTACAATAGTTACTAAATATGTCAAGAGACAGTTTAAAAAAAATCAATGACATAAGCAAATGTTACTTATGATTTAAGAAGAAAGCAGATGCTGGACACGATGACACACACCTGTAAACCAAGCTATTTGGGAGGCTGAGACAGAAAAATCCCAAGTTCAACACCACAAAAACTGTCTCAAAATAAAATTTTTAAGAAGGGACTTAGAGTGTACCTCAAGGGTATAGTGCATGCCTACCATATGCAAGGTCATGGGTTCAATTCCCAGCAACACAGAAAAATAAAGCAGAACCTTATTTTATTAGAAGTAAAGAAAGCTTAATCTAGACAAACTGTGAGAGAAACCCAGGAGATGAGTAAAAATGGCCGCAACATTTTCAATACACAAAAGAACCAAAAGGCAAGCCAGGTGTGGTGGTACATGCCCATAGTCCTGAGGAAGGAGGATCACTATGAGTTGGAGGCCAGGATAGGCTACAAAGTGAGTTCAAGGTCAGCCTAAAGTGCAGAGTGAGACTCTGTCTCAAAAAAAAACCATAAGGCAAGGTCATCTACAAAAAGAATAAAAAGCACAGATGGACTTAAAAGCTTAACGAAAACAGAAACAATATACCTGATTCCCTGATCATCTCCCTCAGATAAAATTAGAAATGGAAAAAAGCAATAGTAAGGAATATAATTTCCTTATTTGCATATCCTTATTTTTGGAAAGTGACAAATTCTTCCCACTGATGATTTTAAATAAATGTATAAACTTGTTTTTTTGAGCAAGCTTTTAAATCTGTTCCACTATAATGTATTACATAAACTGCAGATAAATATTTTAAAGCTAAAAGGTTTTATCAATATAAAGAGATAAACACATAATAAACATGTTAATCAAATGTCAATTAACAAAAAAAATCTATTTTATCGTTATAATTTGTTTTATCTATTGGCCTTTTAAAACCTTTTTCACACCACACTGGGAGATGTTCTTTCTTTAACTTACACTGAAATTCACATTTTAAAGGGTTTTAAAAAGTCACTGATAAAAAAAAAAAAAGTCATTCATGTTCCAATACAAGACAACCCTTGTTTTGCTCTATCTGGTAAGAAAATGTGTAATACAACTATTTTCAACAAGTTTTATTTATCCCACCTGGTGCTATTAACTGGTGAATACTTGATGTCCGGGTGACAGCTGTGCTTCGTGATTCCAGACTTGGACTCTCTCCTTTCTTATTACTTTCTGGAGATGGATCTCGTTGGCTGACTTTAGAACTGGTCACTGTTGTTTTGTTATGACAAATTGTCAATGACTGAGTTTGACTACTGCTTTTTGGTGGACCATTCTGTGAGCTAGATAATACACCCAACTTCTGGCTGCGTAATGTTAAATTCTGAACCTAAGAACCACATAACAGAAAATAAGGATGAAAACAGATGGTTTTAGTTGATACACTAATCATTTTAATTAGAACAAAAATATGACAACATATTTATATTAGATTTTTCACCCATAAAGCTCCTAACATTTAACTGATTAGTTGTGAGGAATGGGAGAATTACTATTGCGAGTAGTCACATCTTAAATATTAGGTGGGAACTTTTAAAAAGATGGAAGGAGCAGGAACCAGGCAGAGAGGAGGTAAGGCCTGGGGGAGAAAAGGTGGGAGGAGAAGAAAGAATGGATCATAAAGAAGTAAATGAAAACAGAACAAGTGTGTGTGTGTGTGTGAGAGAGAGAGA